CCCTGCAGCACCGCCCGCTCCTGTCCTACGGCGTCTGGCCTCAGCCTGGCTCAGCCCTGGCACTACAGTCACTTGGTGAGGGACCCAGAAGATGAAAAATCTCTCCCCCTCCCTCCCTAACTCTGCCTTTAAAATGACTATTTAAAATATTGATTTTGGTGATACCTTCTGCCATCACCTTTTGCCTGTGTCACAGTAAGCAGCAACAGGTTAGAAAGCTGAGACTTCATCTGTCCACATTCCTGAACACAGAAAACTTGCTTGTTCTGCAAGGTGAGAATAAACCTTTGTTCTTTGAATACACTAAGATATGGGGCTATTTATTAAGCAAAAAATAACCTTGTCCACCCAGATTGAAAGTCATCAAGCACTGGTGTGGGAACAGAATGATTCATTTCCACCAAGTGATTATTTGTGATGCAATTTTTAAAAATGGTTTATTTATTTCTTTTGAAAGGCAGGCAAAAAAGCCCCAGATCTCCATCTGCTGATTTGCTCCCCCAAAATGCTTACAACAATCAGGGCTATGGGCAGGCTGAAGCCCAGAGCCTGGAACTCTATCGAGGTCTCCCACCCAGGTGATGGTGAGCGACCAAGCACTTGAGCCATCACCTCCTGCTCCTGCAGGCTCCAAAGCAGGAAGCTGGAAATGGAGAATGCGGTCTCAAACCCAAGCACTCTGACTCGGGCAGTGGGCATCGCAAGCAACCTCTAGACAGCTGTGCCAAATGACTGCGTCTGTGGAGGAATTTTCTGATGAAAAACCACACTTAATTATTCATATGGTAGCCGTAAAAACAGGATGATCGAAAGAAAATGGCCAAAATACTAGTTTCCCATTGTTCTGTCACAAATCACCACAGATGAAGGGTCAAATTTCAATCAATATTTGATTTATTGTTTTCTACAAGAGTAAAAACATAATATCAAATTTGATACTAAGTAGTATGGGAAATGGATAGGGCACAGCTTTTTTAAATAAAAGGACAACAAAAGTATAACTGGCACTAAAGGAATACAAAGTAGTGGATAACACTTTGCCAATGGCAGGCACAGCAAGGCAATAACTGCTTAGCAGTTCTGCAAGGCAGCAAAGTGGGTAACATGCTTTACTACCACTACCACGAGAAGTGGCTAGGTTACACATGAACTGGTTTGTTTTGAGTTCCTTGAGTTACTCCCATTTCAAACACCAGGGAAACCAAGGCAGACGCAACAGTGGTCCTGTCCTCCTCAAGTTTATATTCTAGTGCACTTCAGTTCCAGTTAAAATCCTTCCCCCGATCTTTTAAAAAGGCCTTTAGAAGGAATACACCAATTCATATTAAGATGCAAAAAAACTCTCTCCTCCTGACAGATCTCTCCTTGAGGAATAATCCGTTGGAAAGGACCTTGCTGACATTAATCAGAAGATAAGGGTAAGTGAGCCACGTGGTTACTGATGTGACTGCTGAGCTTAGGGCTGTGACTTCTAGTCTATGTTTGAAAAACCAAAAGTAGCCCTATCATCTCTTAAGGTGGAGATCCATAATTAATCTAAGTCTTCATTAAATTTTAATAGAAAAAGACGAAGCTTTTTAAAAAAAAGATTTATTTATTTTTTTTGGAAAGGCAGATATACAGAGAGGAGAGACAGAGGAAGATCTTCTGTCAAAGGGTTCACTCCCTAAGCGCCGCAATGGTTGGAGCTGAGCCCATCCGAAGCCAGGAGCCTCCTCCAGGTCTTCCACACGGGTGTAAGGTCCCAAAGTCTTGGGCCATCTTTGACTGCTAGGCCACAGGCAGGAGCTGGGTGGGAAGTGGGGCTGCCGGGATTAGAACCGGCGTCCATACGCGATACTGGTGCGTTCAAGACAAGGACCTTAACCGTTACGCTATCGCACCAGGCCCAAGAAGAAGCTTTTTAATAAACTTTTCTAAAAGGGAAGGGGTGGTCATGCTGAGAATGGAAATTCAGCTTAGCAAATAAATAAATCAGTAAAAATAAGTTTCAGTAAATAAATACAAAAAAATTTTTTTTTAGGAATTTGAGGAAGAGTGCAAGCCCACAGACATATCATTAACATTTCAGCACTTAGGACCAGTGTCACAGCCTTATAGGCTAAGACTCCACCTGCAGCACCAGCATCCCAAATGGGTGCTGCTTCGCTTTCTGGCTGCTCCACTTCCCACCCAGCTCCCTGTCTGTGGCCTGTTCCGGCACAGGAGGATCGCCCAAATTCCTGGGCCCCTGCACCCATGTGGGAGACCCAGAAGTTCCTAGCTCCTGGCTTTGGATCAGCTCAGCTCCAGCTGTTATGGTCATTTGGAGAGTGAACCAGTGGACGGAATATCTTCCTTTTCCTCCCCTCTTTATAAATCTTTCTTTCCAATAAAAATAAATAAAATATTTTAAAAAGATTTTATTTATTTGAAAGACACAGCAGGAGGGAGAGAGAGATTCGACCCAGTGGTTCACTTGCCCAAATGGCCACTATGACCAGGGCCCAGGAGCTTCTCCTGGGTCTCCCTAGTAGGTGGCAGGGTCCAGTGCTCTGGTCATCTTCAAGGTCTTTCCAGACCATTCGCAGGGAGACAGACTGGAAGCTGAAACACTGGAACCCAGCACTGTAGACAGTGGTTTTGCCAGCTATGACAACACCAGCCCACAGTCCCAGTTTCCTCCGGGAAGCAGTTATCAATACACAGGCTTGAATGGGACGGCTGCACTGTTCTTTCTACTTGAGGGGTTTTAGAAGTGATTTTTATTTTTGTTTTCCCTATACTTTCTCAATTTTCTACAATACACATATATCACTTTTAAATCTAACACAAAAACCATAAGCTATTAAAGGGGCAGGCTTTGTGGCCCAGCAGTAAAGCTGCCCCTGGGGCTGCCATGTTCCACATTCACGTGCTTGGATTGTGATCTGCTTCTGATGCAGATTCCGGCTAATGCGCCGGGACACAGCAGAGGACAGGTCCAGGATCTGGATCCCAGACACGTGGGGGACATGGACACGGAGGGCAGGGCTCCTGGCTGTGGGCTGGCCCAGCCCCACCCAGCTGCTGCATGCATTTGGGGTGTGAGCCAGCAGATGGAAGACAGGGCTTTCTTTCTCTCTCTTTTTTTTTGTACTTCTCTTTTTCTCCTCCATTCTGCTCTCAAATAAAGAAAAATCAATCAGTTGTTTTACTTTAAAAAAGGACAAAATGTTATTGAAGTGACTCTCGTTACCACTACTTGTGCACCACCATTCTCTCCTCCCACTCCCACTGCCTCTCCAGTCCCAGATTCTAACAAAGGCCTCCTTCTTGAGGTCTCTGCCAGCTCCTCCCCAACTAATGCCCCTAGAATCCATAATTCACACTCATCTACCCACGTGCAAGCAGAGACTAGCTGCACAGCTGAGCTCAAGTCAGAACTTCTCAACCCCAGCTCCAACGAGGGGGGGCCGTCCACTTGTGGAAGGGTTATCAGTCCCCTGCCCTCCGTCTAGCAGATGCCAGCAGCAGCCCTCACCCACAGTGTGACACTGGGGATTCACCCAGGGGGTGGAAATGTAGCTAGCTGAAAACTCAAAAGTTTTTAAATTTCCAAAAGTGTATTCTGTACTGGGCTTATGGTCACATAAATCAAGCCTAAAGCTCTCGTGTCTTACACAACAATCCTCACAGTTCTGCCCGCATAACCTGACTCAACCGGAGCCTCAAGTAGGTCAGACCTAAGGATCCCTAGAAAGGTCATCTTCACTCCCAAGCCTGCACACACTGCTCCCTCACGACAATTCACATCCACATTTCCATTCTGTGTCCTAGGTAAATCCTCCAGATTGTGAGCTCTCTGCAGCTGCCCTCGGTGCAGGTCAGCCTGTGTTCACTGCTCTAATGGAGAGCATCACAACACACACACACACACACACACGCTGACCTAACATGTAAAGCCGTTCATTGCCTGCGTCGCTGGCATTCCATATGGGCACCAGTTACTGCCTTGGTTGCTCCAGTTGCAGTCCAGCTCCCTGTTAATGGCCTGGGTAGAGCAACAGAAGATGGCCCAAGTGCTTGGGCCCCTGCCACCCATGTGGAGTCCCAGAAGCAGCTGCTGGCTCCTGTCTTCAGCCTGGCCCAGCACTGGTTATTGAGGCCATCTGTGGAGTGTAAGAGCAGATGGAAGCCCTCTGTCTCTTCATCTTTCAAATAAAGTTCTAAGTGTTTACTGAAGAGTCAGAGATGTTACTCAAGGGCACTAATCCACTGTTCATTCCCCAGCAGCCAGCAATAGCCAGGGACTGAGGACCGGCCAAAGTCAGCAACCAGGAACTTCACACAGGTCTTCCTCAGAGGGGTCAGAGATACAATCACCGCCTGCTGCCTCCCAGGGTTTGCAGCAGCAGGAAGCTGCAGTCAGGAGCCCGAGCTGTGAAGCAAGCCTAGGCTCTCAACACTTTATGGGTGAGACCTGCAGCTGTGGCTCAGCACGCTAATCCTCCACCTTCAAGCACCAGCATCCCATAACGGTACCAGCTGTGTCCAGGCTGCTCCCTGCTTGTGGCCTGGAAGGGCAGTGGAGGACGGCTCCTGGCTCCAGACTGGCTCAGCTCCTGCTGTTGCAGCCACTTTGGGAGTGAACCAGTGGATGGAAGATCTTTCTCTCTCTCCTTCTCTCTGTAAATCTGCCTTTCCCATAAAAATACACAAATAAGCAGAGTTTTTGGATGTCTTAATCACTAAGCAAATTAACTCCTTAACTGTTCATTTCTTATGAAGTAATTTTTGAATCTTTATTTCTTGTCATGGGGTTAGTAGCTGAATATAATCTTGCCAAGAACAGAATAATGACTCAATAAGTGTGAAGAATCAAATACTAATGTATAACGGCTTATTTAAACAAGCAAAGATAAGTTTCTATTCTTTGTATTTATAGGAAATAACATAGTAGTTAACATCGAAAACACACAAGCCTTATATTTTCCACTTCAAATATTCTATGGGGTTTTCACTCAGGCACAAACGGAAGTATGGTCAGCAAGAAAGAACGCAACTGGATAGTGAATGAGTGCCGGTGTATGCAAGCTAGGGCTCACACACATATCTACAAACGGAGTAAACCAAAGCATTTTGTAAGCCAAAAAAGCACCACAAATGAAGAACGCAGCAGGCCAGTGTAAAGTTTGGAGTCCGCCTACCTGGTTTCCAATTATAGCTATACAGGGATCTTCCAAAGTTAATGAAAAACGTGTAGTATGACAACAAACAAAAAAACAAAAAAAACTACGCATGGTTTAAAACAAAACTGAACCAACATAAACACATCTTAACTACTTTCCACAAACTTTTCGAAATACTTTATGTTTAACCCCAAACAAGTTATTTAGTTATGTCACCTGTTTCCTCGTTGTCAAAACGTCACCACCGTATCTATCCCAAGCTCCCCAACACCACTCGGCGCACCAGTCCACAATAAATCCCCATTATTATCACCGCCAAAGCCACAACGTCTACAATTCTGACGCGAGAAGAAAATCAAGAAGCCACTTCCCACACTAAGATATCAGGGGGATTCGCTCCTTACAGTTTGTTTGTTTTTTTTTTTTTTAAGTTAAACTGGTGAAAGAACGAATTTCTCTGACAATTACTTTTTAACGTGCCAAGGTTCTAACACTGACATCCCTGTTTTAAAGGAACTCTGTAAGATACCGAAGGGGAGAAAAAAAGTATCTCCAAATGTAACCCAACTTAAAGGGTAGTTAAAAAACAAAACAAAACGAAACCCCCTGGGTTCTGTTACAGAGCAACTTTTCAGAAAACACAAGCACGTTTTCAAGCCCAAATCGCCAACTCCGGCACAGCTATGCCAAGCTTTTGTGTCGCAAGACAAAAGCTCAGCTGTCAGGAAACCGAGGAGCCATCGGAAAAGGAGGAAATGCCGCGGCGGGGCCTGGGCGGCTCTCGGAAAACCCGTCCTCCATCCCGTCCGGGCCTCTGCCCAGCCCGCACATGCAGGCTCCACCCCGAGAGGAGCCGGCAGGTGACAGCGGGGCCCGCTCCGAGGGTCCACCCGGCCGGCCCCGAGGGTCCACCCCGGCCCCTGGCCCGCCCCGAGGGTCCACCCCGGCCCCGGGCCCGCCCCGAGGGTCCACCCCGGCTGCCCAGCAGCCCACCCCGGCCTCGAGCCCCACCCCGGCCCCGAGCCCACCCACCCCGAGGGTCCACCCGGCCCACCCCGAGGGTCCACCCGGCCCCCCGGCCCCCCGGCAGCCCACCCCGGCCTCGAGCCCCACCCCGGCCCCGCTCTGGAGGTCCAGCCCGGCCCACCCCGGCCCCGGGCGGCCCCACCGGGCCTCGAGCCCCACCCCGGCGCCGCCAGGCCGGGCTGCACAGGCCCTGGAAGGCCCGGCCAGCCCTCACCTCCGCCTCATGGTATCCCGGCGCAGAGCGACGCGCGCCCGGTCGCCGACGGTGTCGCTCGGAGTCCCTCGGCGTCCTGGCCGGGCCTCACTCACAGCCATTCAAACGCCGCCGTGCGCGCGGCCCGCCGGGATAGCTCCCCTTGGGGCGTCGCGCAGGTCCGCCCACGCTGGCTCCGCCCCTCTCGCGGGTCACGGAGCACAGGCGTGAGGGGGACGAGGCCGAAAGCCCACAGCGCACCCTGGTGGCTGCACAGGAGAACGCTAGGGCGCGGCTGAATGCTGTTTCAATGGCAACAGGAGCTGATCCCAGCGGACCAAGGGGCGTCTAACAGATGCTTCCTGAGAGTGAATGCGGTCAAGTAGGCGTGTCTTCCTCAACAATACAAAAATTCAGTATGTATGGGTGCAGTCACTTTCTCTCAAGCTGTTTCTTCATCACTATAAACAGGAATTTCTTGATGACCCACTATGCAAAACAACGTTGTGGTTGCAACAAGAGGGTGAAAGAGTGTCAGACGCGCCTTGACCCTCAAAGGAGGTGCATGATGTGGTAAGACAAGTAACGGAGCGCTCAGAGCCTTGGCCGGCTCTCAGAGCTCGTGTAGTTACTTCTGTAGCTTGTGAGGCTTACAGCCTCAGCAGGATCATCTCCCAGACCCAGAGATTCACACCAGTGACGAGTGGCTCAGGCCCCCGATCTCACAATTTATCACCTTTCACACTTCTACTTTTGAGATATTCAAATACGCTGAGTATTTTTTTAATTAAAAAAATTTGTTTATTTGAAAGGCAGAGATACAGTGGGAGGGCAGACAGGAGAGACCTTCCCTCCATTGGTTCACTCCCCAAATGGCCCCAATAATCAGGACTGTCAAAACCGGGAAGATCTGAAGCCAGGAGCTGCTGCTTCTTCTTCTAAGATTTATTTATTTTTATTGTAAAGTCAGATATACAGAGAGGTGGAGAGACAGGAAGATCCTCTGACCGATGATTCACTCTCCAAGTGACCACAACAGCCGGTGCTGCATCCATCCAAAGCCAGGAACCAGGAACTTCCTCTGAGTCTCCCACGCGGGTGCAGGATCCCAAGGTTTGGGCCGTCCTCAACTGCTTTCCCAGGTCACAAACAGGGAGCTGGGTGGGAAGCAGGGCTACTGGGATTAGAACTGGTGCCCATATGGATACTGTAAAAAAATCCATTTATTTGAAATCTATTTATTTGAAAGGCAGAGTTACAGAGAGAGAGAGAGAGAGAGATCTTCCAGCAGCTGGTTTACTTTCCAAATGCCTGCAGCAGCCAGGGCTGGCCAGGCAGAAGCTGGGACCTGCAACCCCATTCAGGTCTCCCACACGGGTGCAGGGCCCATGTATGTGGGTCATCTGCTTTCCCAGCCTCATTAGAAGGAGCAGCTGGGACTCAGTGCTCGTAAGGCATGCCCATGTCACAGGTGAGGCAGAACCCTCTATGCCAGCCCTTAACTGCACTTTCTAAGTAGGTAACTTAGTGCACATGAGTGGAGTCTCTTAGGGTGAGACTTGCACTCATATTCATTTACTATGTTTGCCATAACAAGATACAACAAACTGGGTGGTTTAACAAACAAACAGAAATACACAAGACCTGCACAGTTCTGGAGGCTAACCGTGCAATCTGAATGCATCGGTAATGCTCCGGAGGCTCTGCAAGTAACCATTCCGGCATCTTCCTGGCTCCCTTGCTTCCTCAGCTTTGTCATGCCAATCTCTGAACCTCGCAGTTCCATGGCACTCGTCCCTCCGGGTCAGCAGGACTTCTCTCCTCATCAGGTGCTAGTCACTTAACAGAGACGATAGTTCCCTCTGACCTCACCTTAACCGATATCAAAGATATCCACAAAGATAGCCCAAAGATCCCGGCCCCAAACACGGTTAGATGCAGAAGCTGCAAGTGGATACGAAGTTCATAGCGGGGACACTATTCAAACAATTTACAACACTCTAGAAATAACCCAGTTCACAAACCCTTGAGCAATGTAAACTGGTGCTATTTTGGAAGGCCTATTTGGACCTATCAGCGTTTTAGATGTAGAAACTATCTAGTAAATAATTCTAATTGTATGATTCTACAGAACTGCTGACAAGTATCAAACCTAACGAGATTTTTTGGACAAGGTAGAAAATGGGAAGAAGTGAAATGCCCATCAAGCAGGGTCTGATGGACTGAATTATCCCACATCCATGCCGTGTGTTCTCTGTGACTCTGTAGAACACACACGGAAGACATCCAGGATAGATTAAGAGGAAAGGAGAGAGTGGACTGTAATGTTCCTATTTCTGTCATAGTCAAATTTCCACTTATGTGTGTTTTATTTATTATTATTTAAAACACTTTATTTTAGGGCCCGGCGCAGTGGCGCAAGTGGTTAAGGTCCTCACCTTGCACGCCCTGGATCCCATATGGGTGCTGGTTCTATCCCGGCAGCCCCACTTCCCATCCAGCTCCCTGCCTGTGGCCTGGGAAAGCAGTCGAGGACGGCCCAAAGCCTTGGGACCCTGCACCCGCGTGGGAGACCCGGAAGAGGCTCCTGGCTTCGGATTGGCATAGCATCGGCCACTGCGCTCACTTGGGGAGTGAATTATCAGACGGAAGATCTTCCTCTCTGTCTCTCCTCTCTGTATATCTGCCTTTCCAATAAAAATAAAATAAATCTTAAAAAAAAACCCACTTTATTTTATATTAGAAAGTCAGATATACAGAGAGGAGAAGAGACAGAGAGGAAGACCTTCCATCTGTTGATTCACTCCCCAGGCTGCCACACTGCCAGAGCTGAGCCTCTACCAGGTCTCCCACGTGGGTGCAAGGTGCCAAGGCTTTGGGCCATCCTCTGCTGCTTTCCCAGGCCACAAGCAGGGAGCTGGATGGGAAGTGGGGAAGCCAGGATTAGAACTTGCACACATATGAGATTCTGGCACGCGCAAGGTGAAGACTTTACCCGCTAGGCTACCACACCGGGCCCTTTATGTATATTTTAAAAGATGACTTTCTTTCATGTTCTAAAAGATACGTCTTGTCTTTCTTCAACTCTTCTGAATTCCACTTCATCCTTTTATTAGTGTGGTTGTGCTGCCATAACAGAACATTCAGTTGCCTATGGCTGAGGAGGCTGGCAAGTTGCAGGCTTAGGGCTCCCTTCCTGGCCTGCCCATGGCCTCTGGCTCACTGCATTCTTGCAGGGTGGGGGTGAAGGTGGAAGAGCCCTGTCTGGCGTGCCTTCTTACAGGGCACCAATTACATCGCGATGGCCCCACCCTCGTGAGCTCATCTACCCCTAATTGCTTGCACACACTGTAACATACAGGACTAAGGTTTCCACATCAGAGGTGCAGGGGCAGGAAGAGGAAGCAGATACCACGTTGACACAATTCTCCAAAAGCCACAGGTTATACAACAATGGCTTACATCCAAACTGACAAAACTGACTGGGCTCTTCAAAACTGACACATAGGTTAAACAAAAAACAAGCAAACACACAAACCCAAGGGACCTGGATCGGTCTTCCAGGCTCTGGATGTGGAGACATTTAAGTCTGCTTTCCAGAAAGCCAGAATGAATCCAGGCAGAGCACACCTAGGGACCTGTTGGCTGCAGTAATGTGCCATTATGACTCATGCGTGATTGCCATGCTTAGCCTTAAATGGGACCTGTGGGAATGGCAGTCCTCCCAGCTTCCTAAGCAAGAGGTGGAGGGAAGCGTGCTGTAATGAGAACTTGTTAAAACGTAAATTGCACAACAGTTCCCTGAATGAAGAAAAGGTAATTGCTGAGAAAGGGTGGTGTTACTAGAGAGCCAACTTATTGCAGAACCACCCTACAGTTGATGTCATGGGACCCAAGCCAGCGCCCATGTGGTCTCAGCGCTTGCAAGGTGAGGATTTAGCCTTTGAGCCATCGTGCTGGGCCCTTTCACTTCACTTTGTAACACACAGGTAGAGATAGACACATAACCTTGTTATTTTGCAATGAACAGGTTTTAGTAGTTCTCAGTTCTTACCATGGTTGAATCATCTGGAGAACCAGAAGAAGTAACAGTGCTCAGATTGCAGCCTTAGCGAATCACTCAGGCTCTCTGGAGTCTTCCAGGCAGCTGCATGAGGGGCTGGTGTGGTAGCCTAGCAGATAAAGTCCTCGCCTTGAACGCATGTCGGTATCCCATGTAGGCGCCAGTTCTAATCCTGGCAGCCCCGCTTCCCATCCAGCTCCCTGTTTGTGGCCTGGGAAAGCAGTCAAGGATGGCCCAAAGCCTTATGATCCTGCACCTGCGTGGGAGACCTGGAAGAGGTTCTAGGCTCTTCTTAGCTTTGGATCGGCTCAGCTCTGGCTGTTGCGCTCACTTGGAGAGTGAATCATTGAACGGAAGATCTTCCTCTGGCTCTCCTCCTCTCTGTATATCTGACTTTCTAATATAAAATAAATAAATCCTTTAAAAATGCTCATGAGTTGATCCTCCTGTGTATTTAGAACAGCAACAAGACACTAGACTTCTAGGATTAAAATAATAATTAATAATACCAACATTTTTCTAAAAACAAATGTAGAACTGGCACAATTCAGAAAACATGGGAAAACACATTTTCAAACAATGATCTGAGGCCGACCTAATGGCACAGCAGGAAAAGCCCCCACCCGAGACACTGGCAGCCCATAGGGGCATTGGTGTCCAGATTGCTCCACTTCGGATCCGGCTCCCTGATAACGGCCTGGGTAAAAAGCAGCAGCAGCCGGCCCACCTGCCTAGGCCTGCCACCCACCTGGGAAACACGGAAGAGGCTCCTGGCTCCGGCCTGGCCCAGGCCCAGCAACTGTGGCCATGTGAGTGAAGCGGTGGGGGAACGACTCTTCTCCCTCTCTCTAGGTAACTTCTCTAAATAAGCAAATCATTTAAAAATCAAAGAGATGATCCAATATCTCATTACGTTCACTTTTCCGTATTTTTTTCTGAGTATACTTGCATGTACATAGAAAAATATGCAAGTTTTTAAAATCCATAATACATTTTAGAACTGTTACTCTCTTAGAAATAATCTGTCAGTGTCTGCTTCTTGAGGAAATTAAGACTTCCCATATCATTTGGAATTGGGACTAGAATGAATCCCACTTTCCTAGATTGATAGGAAAACCTTATATTGGTTTTCCTTTGAAAAACCCATTTTGTGCAAACACTTAAATCCTCTGAAGTTTCATTTCAACTTGAAATGCCATGCGATAAAGGGTCTATTATTTCTAACGATCTTTTAATCTTCAGCCCTGGGGCATGTAGACCCAGGTACGGGGGTGCAGCAGCCTCCAGAAGTTCATCGAAAAACGCTCATTATCCTGCGATTTAATTTTCCTACAAACTTTTACAGTAGGCACAATGCAAGGTGCAAAGTATTATTTGGAAGACTATACTGAGGGGCAAAAGAGGGTGTTCATCGCAACATTAGTTATTAAAAAAAGCGACCGGTCAAGAATGAACGCAAACGGGACACCAACGACTGTGTGCCAACAGCCAAGGAGACCACAGGGAATCGGAGTGCCCTCGCAGGCCGAGAACTCGGAGCTCATCCATTCCCTATCAGATCTCCCACATGGGATGGAAGAAGCCCAGATCCTTCCTCACAGGATCTCAACATCGGAATAACAGCTGGGAGTCCTGGTCAGTCCTCAGAAACAGAAGAAACCTCCTTCGGATCCCAGGAGGGGAGCTTTCTCTGGTCCTTACTCAGTTCCAACTTTGGATCCCCTCCCTCTCTTGCAATGGCCATCAGGGTTGCTCTGAAGACTCCCTCTCCCCCCCTCAAAAAAAATCAGATTAGATAGACATATCAATAAAATAAGCTTAGAGCAGACAAGAATAGGGTCAGCTTGGACTCACATATACCTAACAAGGCAGGTCACAAAGACCAGTCACCCCTCACTGGGGAGGTGAAGACTTCTCTGCACACCCCTCCTAAAACTATTCTGCACCTTTATTGCTAACAAATGCCTTGTTAGAGTTATAAGCCTGTTTGGGCTACCCTAAAACACGCCAAGTTCAGTTAAATCATGCTTCAATACTACAAGCTATTAAATATAAAATGAAAACAGGCCCGAGACAGCTGAAACAGCACCCTATAACCATTTTAAGATGTATAGCAGCCGGATGTGTATAAACTAAAAATTAAATTGTCGATGAAGTAGTCACAGGTTGGGGTTAAGAACTTGCATTGTCTAACATATCAGCCACTCAAAACCATGGCAATTAACCCCTTAATGATGTAATTAGTTGTTAACGCTATGTTGTGGCTTTACATTGGACAGGATAATACTCTGTCAGCTCTGCTTTCAGACTAGAGATGGTCTCCCCAAGAATCTGCTGAATCTATCTGGACAATAAGAGGCTGGACTCTATGCACGGTACATGCTTGCAATGGAAGACTCATGACTTGATTTGAACTGTAACACTGCAACAAGGTGCAGGAATCCACCACGGGGGTGGAAGGGATTGGGGGAACCCCAGAGCCTATGAAACGATGTCATAAAATGTAATAAACAAACAAAAAAGAATGAACGTAAACGTCCAAAATATAACCCGTGCCTACAAAGAAGTACCAAACCCAATCTCCACACACAATGACCTGATCTTTCAGTAACACCCAGCCACCACCACCATCACCACCTAAGGCAAGCGGTGGGTATTCACCTTTTACCTAGCCAGTTAAAACAATGTTTTTAACCTGCCCACGGTCAGCAGGTTAGTAGACAGCGGAGCCAGATTCACAAGAAGGCTCTCGGAACACTTCCAAGGCTGGACTGGCCACCTGGGCTTGGTGCAGCACGGGGCTGGCTAGCACCGTCCAGCGGTCACTCAAGGCGGCCACTCACTCGGCGGGAGCGGCCACACTGCCCGCTCGGGGTCACAGCATCCGTGGCGCAGCCAGGATTTCACTTGGAGGGTTTCAATCTTTTCTCCCAGGGAGCGAGGAGGTGAAGCATTTTAGTACTGAGGACGGACTTCGCCCTCAGGTCAGGGAACACACAACAAGCCACTTCAGAAAGGCGGGAGCGCGCAGGAGTCGCTTTTCAGACGCGCTGAACTTTGCAGAACTTTGCAGAAACACGTCCCAGCTCCCCGCACTCCACCTGCAATCCGCGCGGGCGGCCTTTCCCGCGGCGGAAGTGACGTCTAAACGCTCGCGCCGGAAGTGGTGTTGCCGAGCGAGACCGTGAAGTCAGGGACGCCTAAGGGCCAGTGGCCGGTGGACGGTCCCGAAAGGGACGCTTCCAGGCTTTTCTGAGCGATTGCTGTCATGACGGCCCAAGGGAGCCTGGTGGCGAACCGAGGCCGGCGCTTCAAGTGGGCCATTGAGCTGAGCGGGCCTGGAGGAGGCAGCAGGTGAGGGATGAGGGAGGGATGCCGGACAGGGTGAACAGTGGCCCCTGCGCCCTTAGGCTGGGGGACGGTGCAGCTTCTTTGTCCTGCAGGCCCTGGTGATGAGCCAGGGACTGAAGCCTTGGTCTCACCTGTATCCACGCATCTCAGAGTTTTCCATTCCAGTGGCCGGTAGAACAGAAGACAACGGGATGTAAGCGTGGGAGGCTGCAGCCTTAATTCTTTGGGCTTATCTTTTAGGGGCCGCAGTGACCGGAGTAGTGGCCAGGGAGACAACCTGTACCCAGTCGGTTACTTGGACAAGCAAGTGCCGGATACCAGCGTGCAGGAGACAGACCGGATCCTGGTGGAGAAGGTACAGGGTATTAGGCATTGCAGTGGTCCTTGGGCAGGTGGACCTGTCTTCCCCTCCAGGGGGTTGTGACTCCAGAGAGCAGCCCTTATCCTGAACGTTAGTGAGCTGGCCTGCTTGGGATTCGGGTCCTCATGAATGTCCGCACCACAGCTCTGGGCAAGTAAGAGACGTTTAGAGCGCAAGGGCTCAGAAGGTGGTGTTGAACGTGATGTTTCTTCAGTTTCTCATCCTCTTGTACTGTCCTCCTTTTTTACACCATTTCATCCAAACTGTCAGATTGTTGTTGGCTTTGTTTTCAACGTCCCGCCGCCTCCACCTGTCGTCCAGGCACCATCCCTCGTGCGGATTTCTGCAGCACAACTGTGTACACTGCTGCGATAGAGTGCATCCCATAAAAGCGTGGTTTCTGAACCTCAGCCTCACTGCTGGCTGAGTACTCGTGTGCCGTGGGGGGCTGTGTTGAGCCACACCCTGGGCCTCTATTAGATGCCGATAGTGCCCCTCGCCGCCTGTGACAGTTTTCAGATTTACTGAGTGTCTCCTGGGAAGCCAGTTGAGAAGCACTTACTGAGCAGATGCCATCGGAGGAGCTATGACCATGTCCCCCGTGGCAGCGTCGCTGCCTTGAGAGGACTACTTTTCACTCCCGAGATTCCTTGTGTCCCCACTTGCACACTTTTGGTCTTGCTCCTTCCACCTTGCATCCTAGCTTCCCATCCATTCAGCATAAAATTTGTAGTTTTTTTTTTTTTTCTTCCCTCATGTTGTCATAGTCAGGCTTGACCTAGTCTCTGGGTTGACTACATTGTAATCACCGAGGCCTCCTTGCTGTGTCTGAAGGAGGCCAGGCAAGCTCCAGGCTTTCCCGGGTCTTTAGCATTTGCTCTTTCTGGAATTCTCCCTCAGATAACTTCCTGACATGGTATGCTCATCTCCTTTAGTTCTCTCAAATGGCAGTGCAGCCTGACCTTATGGTGTGTGCTGTTTCCCTTCTCTCTATTTCTCCATTATCATTCATTTATGATGTGAAAATACTACATACTCTTGCCATCTACATTACTGTTCTTTGAGGCTCCCCTGGAGCAGGGTTCTGTTTGGTGCATCCTAAGGCCTAGAATAGTGCCTAGTCTGTTCTTTCCCTCTTGGGTCTCTCTGCCAGTCTAGTGCTATTCAGTACCATATGATCTTGGTTTCATGAAGATGGCTGTTATTATACATCTAAACACGGATTTTTATTTGAAAGGGAGTCAGAGAGACCCGACTCACTCTCTAAATGGCTGTGAAGGCCAGATCTGGGCTAGTCTGAAGCCAAGAGCTTCCCTTGGGTCCCTTCTCACGGGTGCAGGGGCCTGAGGACTTGGGCCATCTTCCACTGCTTTCCCAGGCCATAAGCAGGATGCTGGATTGGGAGTGGAGCAGGCAGGACGTGAACCGCACTAGAGGCAGGGGAATGGCCGGCTTGCCCACTGTGCCAGCCACACATAAATATTTATTTATCTATTTATTTATTTATTTTAGAAATTAAAGAGCTACAGAGAGAGACTGTCCATCTGCTGGTTCACTCCCCAGATGGTTGCAATGGCCAAGGCTGGGCTAGCCTCATTCAGATCTCTCACTTGGGTGGCAGGGTCCCAAACGCTTGGACCATCTTCCACTGTTTTTCCCAGGCCATTAATGGGTAGCTTGATGGGAAGCAGAACAGCTGGTACATGAAGCAGTGCCCATGTGGGATGCCTACATCACAGGAGGCAGTTTCCCAGGATTGTAAAGTCATGTAAGATGTACTCTTTAAGATTATCTGAAAGGCAGAATGAGAATAGGATTGCTTACGGAATTGCCAGCTAACTTTCAAATGCCTGCAGTAGCTGGACTGGAGCAGGCCAACGCTGGGAGCCCGGAGTTCTCCCACATTTCCGTGGGGGCAGGAGGGACCCAGTCGATCGGCTCTTGTATGCTGGGCTCCTGGTGCATTAGCAGAGAGGCCGAGACTTGAGTCAGCACTCCCGTATGTTTGAAGCAGCAGCTTAAGCTACTGCTCCCCAACACCCACGCAGTTTAAGAACTGAATTTAGGATAATTGACATACACATTTTCCCTTCATATCGGTGGTTGGATGCTTGTTTTTATTCTCCAGAAGAATTTATGTAAGAATAGCTTTATTTTGCCTTAGATTTACCGAGAAAAGTTTGAGTTTTAAAATAGGTTGTTTCTGTAAGAGTTATAAGATTGTAAGTTTTCGGGCCCGGTGGCGTGGCCTAGTGGCTAAAGTCCTCACCTTGCACGTGGGACCATGCGCCCACGTGGGATACCAGGAAGAAGTTCCTGGCTCCTGGCTTCGGATCGGCATAGCATTGGCCGTTGTGCTCACTTGGGGAGTGAATCATCGGATGGAAGATCTTCTTCTCTGTCTCTCCTCCTCTCTGTATATCTGACTTTCCAATAAATAAATAAATCTTAAAAAAAAAAAAAGATTGTAAGTTTTCTAATTTCTTTTGCCACCTTGATGCCATTTTTTCCCTATTTACCCATTTCCTAAACTTTTTAGAAAATGTACTTATTTTATTGGAAAGGCAGATTTATAGAAAGAAAGATCTTCCATTTGCTGATTCATTCTCCAAGTGGTCACAATAGCTGGAGCTGAGCTGATCCAAAGCCAGGACCTCTTCTGGGTCTCCCACACATGTACAGGGTCCCAAGGCTTTCCCAGGCCACAAGCAGGGAGCTGGAAGAGAAGTGGAGCAGCCAGGATAGGAACCTGCACATGCAAGGTGAGGACTTACCACTAGGCTATCACACCAGGCCCCAACTTTTAAAAATTTTTATTTTGGGGGGGCCAGTACAATAGCCTGGTGGCTAAATCCTTGCTATATGGGCTTTGATCATGTCCTGGCTGCTCCACTTCCCATCTAGCTCTGTGCTTGTGGCCTGAGAAAGCACTGAAGGATAGCCCAAAGCTTTGGGACCCTGCACCCTTGTGGGAGACCCAGAAGCTCCTGGCTCCTGGCTTTGGATTGGCTCAGCTCCAAGTGTTGCAGCCACCTGAGGAGGGAACCAGTGAACAGAAGATCTTTTTCTCTGCATATCTGCCTTTCCAAAAAAAACAAAATCTTAAAAAAATTAAGGCATACTTTGTAAGAATACACATTTCTCAAAGGTCTGTGTCTCACCATATGTGCTATTTATTAGGTAACAGTATTAATTTCCATTGCAATTTCTTTGAATCATAAAGTACATTTTAATTTCCAAATGTGGGAATTTTGTAGTTGTTTTTGTTATTGATTTGTTGCTTAATTGCATTGTAAACAAAGATCATGCTTTGTGTAATTTGAGCTCGTGCAATTTATTGGCATTTCCTCCAAGACTTAGCAGGTGGTTAGTTTTTGTAAGTATCCTGCATGTTTAAAAAAAAATGAATTCTGCAGTTGTTGGGTGCGATGTCTTTATATTCATAGTTACATTTGTTAATATTAGTCATATATTCTGCGTCTTGTATCCTTGTATTACTGAGGTATGCTAATTTCCCATTCTGTGAAGTTTTTTTTCAAATGAAGCTGAGATAATGCTAAATGCGGAAGTGTAAGACAAAACAGGGAAATTTTTTCTTTAGCCAAAATCAGAACAGAATGTACAGAAACTTACAAGGCAAAGCCTCGGAGATGGTGAATAGTGCCTTGTCTCCAGAAGAGAGAGCTTCCAAAAGCTGCAGGTGGGGGGCTGAGGAGGCAGCTGCGTCACAAGCAAGGAGTCATGAATGCCATTCATTTAATATCAGTGATAGAGTAACCTGATCAGAGGTTAAAATGACCTATTTTCTTTCAGCGCTGCTGGGACATTGCCTTGGGTCCCCTGAAACAGATCCCCATGAACCTCTTCATCATGTACATGGCAGGCAATACCATCTCCATCTTCCCCACCATGATGGTGTGTATGATGGCCTGGCGACCCATTCAGGCACTGATGGCTATTTCAGCCAGTAAGTATTCTTGAGATAATGATCCTTCCTTACGTTTTAAGAATTAAAAGTAATCCTTGGATACAGATCCTGGTCAGAGCGTGCCGGGCGGTGGTGACACTGGTGGCATGGATGGGAGAATCAGCTTGATTTTCTGCTCACCTTCAGTGGCCCTGTTTTCTACGGTCTCTATTGTTTTAAGATATGGTTGGCTTGATTCAAACTGGAAAAAGGTTACTTTGGTTCTGACACTTTCTCTTATCCCAACAGCTTTCAAGATGCTAGAAAGTTCAAGCCAGAAATTTCTACAGGGCTTGGTCTATCTTATCGGGAACCTGATGGGTTTGGCATTGGCGGTTTACAAGTGCCAGTCTATGGGATTACTGCCGACGCATGCGTCAGATTGGCTAGCGTTCATTGAACCCCCTGAGGTGAGGCACAAGAAAGGATGTGTACTGAGCTGCTGTAATGTGAATACAGACAGTAGCATGTCCATTTGATGGTCAGAGGAGTTAGGACTTATTGCTTAAGAGTCTTAAGGAATTTGCCACAAACCTTCAGCGATTCTGAAAGCTGTTTGAGCAATCTGTCTTCACCTGTGTACTGCTTCTTCTTTCAGAGAATGGAGTTCAGTGGCGGAGGATTACTGTTATAACCCGAGTGAGAAACGCGCGGCCTGTGGATCTGCTTCTCCTTCACCTCCTCCTTCAGCAACCCGAAGCTCCCTCCCCGGAGAGCAGACAGCTCCTGCCAGGACAGTGTGCATTCTGCCGCCGTCACAAAGAAACTACCACAACCCCTGGCTGAAAATAATGTAGAAAACTTTATTTATGTTTCCAGTACAGAGCAAAACAACATGACCAGAATTCTATGTAAACAAAAGAACAGTTGCTGCTAAATCAATAGCTAGAGCAGCATCTCCTTTCAATAAATTAAATGTTTGAGAACAATGCTTTTAAAAATGTTGCACAACTTTATTTTCCTTAATATTTCACTCCTATTTAACACAAGCTGGGATATAAAAATTCTGTTGGAGACACATGTGAAAGAAACTAATGCTCAATTCAGATAATACATGATGAAAAGGAAAATAAACCAGACAAAAAGCATGTCAATATGCTTACAGTGTAACTGTTATTTTCATACCCACAATAAGGGATTTTAACATGTTTAGGGGGAAATGAGGCTTTGGGGGATCCAAGGGCCACAGGAGCCTGAGGCAATGGAAGGTACAGAGCGGTGACCTGCCTGCCGAGAGGGAACTGGCACCTATGGAGCAGATGCTGCAGCTCCACCTTCGGCTTTTAAGCAGCTGTGGGAGGCAGAGGGCGAGCAGGACCACGGAGACACCACAGCCTGCCCTGGTGAAGTCGTCAAAGACGTGCAAGCTGGATCTTACTCCAAAGGCAGGAGGTCTTTGTTCTCTTCCCTCTTGAAACACAAAGCCCCTTCCCCTAAGGTGCATTCTCTCACTGAGTTTTCAGTATTGCTTTATTTGCAGTGATTAGGAGACGAGACACTTTGCAGACAACATAAGCAACACAATCATGAAATGCTCTAGACAGAGATGAGGGTAAGTCTGGCCCAATAACCTTTTTTCCATGTAACAGTGATTTTGTGTTTTAGGGGTTGAAGTAGTGGCTATCTTAACAGCCACTGATTCCCTTATCCCTTTAAAATACAGAGTTCTGACCGTGAATAGCTGTCCTAAAACTAGCCTTATTTATGCTCATACTTGTCCTCTGGCCAGGGTGTGTGTCTAAATGCTGGGGAATTCCTGGTCAGGCTGACCTTGGCCGTGGTGATCTGTAAGATCTGAGGTCCTAGGGGGCGCTGATCCCTTGCTGCTGCTGTACCCCAGCTAAGCAATGGGGTGTTACAATCAGTGCTAAACAATGTTTCTACCTTATCCTGAAGGAACAGAAAAATGAGCCTGTCTGCTCTGCTACCCTGAGGGTTTGGAGGTTAAGAGAGTTAACTCAGTTTCTTTAACAATAATGAAGGATTTTCCTTGTTCTTATGGGTCAGATTAATAATCTGTGATACCTACAGGTCAGTTTGCTCTAAATCCTATTGGGCAATCAAAGATTGGCACTTTATTATTATTAACAGAGCAAAATTCAAAAACATCCATGTAGAGTTTCTCTAAATATGTGGCCTGCTCAGCCACACAGAACAGAGGGAGTTGCCTTCTGCCTCTAAACCAGATGTCTGATCAGTGTAGTAGTTAAAAAGCCGAGCTTGCACAAGTGTTTCCTTGGCACGTTTAGAACTTTGAAAAAAAGAAAGAAAAATTGCCAAAGACCGGATAACGTCTTAGGTCAGAGCCCAGTTTGTGTAGTCAGAATTGAGGAATAAAACCGAAAAGCAGACAACACGACTCTAGGTGTGTCTAGGTGAGTGCCTCGAGGTCTAACTATGGCTTTGGAGGCGAGGCCATGGGTTTCTTCATGAGACACTTCCTTGCAGCCGGCCAGTGCCAATTTCATACCACTTTAGTGAGGACGGTAAGGAGAGCAGCAGCTCAGTAATAACTTTGGCACTATGGAAAGTGTATGGCTCTAAAGTTTCCAATTCCATTGCTGAGTTCATCCTTTAAAAGATGGTCTGAGGTTCTGGGGGGAATTTTAGCTAGTCTTCCTAGCATACCTTATTTTTGACCTGTGCTAACAAAGAGCATCCAAAGAAAGTAAGGGGGAACCTATGGATTGTGCACACCATGCCCTGTATTTCTTAGAGAATAGGATGTATGTTTTGCCTGTATTGCATAGAAAACCAGACTGCATTTCAGTAAATCTTAAACAGCTACTTTGGAATTCCCCTTGGTTCAGTCATTTGAACAGAACCTGAAATAATTTACACCCTTAAACAATTCCCATGGTAACATCTGCCACAGTGTAAGTTTTGAAATAAGGGAAACAGCTGAAACATACACTAACGCACTGGATACGCAAGCCTGGTGCTTTGAGGAAGTAGAGGCTGCAGCCATGTCTCTGCCATAAATAGTAGTACCTATTAGAAAATTACTGAGTCCTGGAGTGCAGTGGGTACAATAAAGAAATTGCTAAAAATGTTTCCATCTTGGTTTGCCAAGGGCCATCTCCACAAATATAATGGAGCCTCGCACTTGGCTCTGATCTCTTTAGCAGGATGAGGTTATCAGGCCTGCGGTGTTGTCATCAAGCCGTGGTTTCTGAGACCCAGCTTTAACCTTGGTTATGTACTTGCTCTTTGTCTTCAGCTGAAATTCTAGCATCTCGTAGCAAGTCATCTGTTGGTTCAGCTTGTTAGTTCTAGCTTGCCTTCTACTGATAAAGACATGGCTTTTAGGATTTGACCATTGTTCTGACGTTGAAGGAATATTTGCTTCTGTTAGGACAGCGGATCATTTGGGTGCACACAGCAGACCCCTTTATCACTGTTCTGCAGAAAACGCGAGGCTCAGCTAATCAAGAATTGAGTGTGCTGTGTACAGAACATAGCATCTGGTTGGATGGGAGTGGTAGCAAACAGCTGCACTTCCATGGAGGACAGAAGCGTTTAGGAGAGGTGAGGTCAAGCAGAGTTCTCCAGCCGATTATGAATAAATGGTAATCACTTCACTGCCACCACCTCGGACGAGCAGGACCCTCTCCAGGCCCTCCGTGAGCACTTCGAGGAATTCCATATCTGTAGCAGTTGTCAAGGAGACACAGGCAGAACACTTACAGCCTGACTTCATCATCGTCCAAATCTTTCTAGTCACAGAGCTGAATGAGCACACTTACCTTTAATACTCAGAAAAGTTGAAATTCTGAATTCTATTTTACCCTAGGAAATAATCCTTTTGTGTATTTACTACAACGTTCTGATTTGTTAGGCATTTTCTAAACCTTAAAAATTGGGACACTCAGTAATATTCTAAATGACAAAAATGCCAAATAGTAATCTAAACCCACAACGGGGAGAGAACCCAAGTGCTTTCTAAGAGCTGCTCATCAGTCTGACTCGCCTGCCAGTTCTTTTCCCCGTTTGTAAACCTTAACGCTGCTGAAGAATCGCTGCTTTCTCTCCAGCTAACAGTAGTTCCTTCTCAACTGCTTCTTGTCCAGCTCCACCCAAAAGAAACGCTTTGCCAAGTCGATAGGCCTGAAAAGGAGCCAGAATGTGTGTGTCCTGTCTCTCGAACTGTCACAAAGGATTCTATACTGTCACAAAGGATTCTATACTGAATAGAGGAAGTGGTTTTGCAATTATATTACCTTAAAAAGTCTGCAGGGTAACAAGATGTATTACATGCCCAATTCCCCCCAAAATTAGTTGATTTTACAGCTCTGCAAGAATCCATGCGTAAGTTTTAAAGTTTCCTTCTTCAAAGAGAAAACTAGGGCATCCACGAGGACTTTCCCAGTTACCTTATCTAACAAATAGGCTAAGATCTGCCCAACTAGTAGCTCCACTCTTGGAAAAGATACAGTTTTCATCACCTTCAGGGTTTCTAGGAGGCCCTGGCATATTCAACAAAACCAGCTTTGCTTCATGGGACTTGTTAACTATAACCTCATTGAGCTTTACAGCCGTGTGCATCCGCCTCACGTTGGAATGGTCCCTGGGTCGGGGAGAAACAGAGAGAGTTCAGGCAAAAAGGAAACTAGCCACAGTCAATCTCAAGGTCCAGAGTTTTTCTTCTTGATAGGCATGATGTGACAAAATAATTTCCACATCCTGGGTTTTCTCATTTAATGTTTGCTTATTTTATACTGGGACCACAGTACAGACTCACACAATAGGGAGAAAGGATAGTTCCCTTGTATACAGTGGTAACTCGCAATTAATATATATAGGCAAACAACAGTGAAAGCTGGATGTGGGGTAAGCTGAAGAACACCCTATTCCCTGTGTCTAGGCAAAGTCACATTTGTGTATGGAGGAGAACTTACGGCCGCATGTTAAGCAGGTCCTGGAATCCCTCCATTGACTTGGCTTTTTGACCCCGCGATGCCATGTACTTGTCTTTTGTCCAAGTCATGTGCACCTTCTCCTGATAGGTTTCCGTCTCTTCATCTTCGTCCGAGCCAATGCTGGTCAGTCGCAGCATCGAGTTCCGGTCTTTTACCAACTGTGCCTAAGAAAAAGTCCAACACAGTATTCTATCCAATTTCGTCTCATGTTTCATCTTTAATTATTTTTTAAACAAAGTGGGGTTATAGTAGAATAACGGCTAAATAAGATGGAAAAAGACTGTATCCCATGAAGACAGCACAATGGCAATCGTTTCACTGGCTGGCGTCACGGGGCGGGGGCAGGTGGAAGTGCAGTCTCACCTCTCTGTCACGCTCTGTTTTGGACAGCCGCATGTGCCGGAGCATCTGCGACCTCTGTTCCATCATCAGCGTGCGCTCGTACGTGTAGGCGGAGATGTCACTGTCGTGCTGCCAGTGTTCCGGGTGGGCAAAAAGCACAAGGACAGAGACTGATGAGCCGTACGTTTGTATTCCCACTCAATAACAAAGCAGAAAAGTAAAGTAGCAACCTAAGTTCCACCTTTGTCTTGTCCGGTCTTTGAGAAACATGGCATTTTGGGCTGTAAATAAAATCCCAAAGCCCTGAAGGACTTTATTTAAAAATCTAATCACAAGCATGCCTCCTCAAAATACAAAGCAAAAAAAAAAAGGTTTTTTTTTTTTTAAATACTCTAAGGTTATACAAATAAAAAAAAAAGTCATATATATTCACAAACATGAATTAAGCTATATTAAGCAGAAAAATACAAAGGCTGGTGAGACCATCCAAATATGCTAAAATCTCAGCCACGCCTTCAAGTGAGTGGCATTAGAATTGCCCAGCCACTTCCTGATTGGTTGAGAGACAACCAATGGGGAACATCTTCCCTGCAGGTTCCCGCACAGAGCAGGAAGGGTCAGAGAATGTTTAAAATCCCAAGACCTTTCAGAAAATCTCAGTCTCTCCCCTTCTCCTTTTAAGAGGCAGCCCATCTCCTGGCCCTCTCCTGGGAGATGCCTTCCCCGTCCCTCTTTTTTCCACATTCACCTGCTCACTTGGTAAATAAAACTCTGTCTGGATGTTTATTTCTACACTAAGCTGAGGAAAGAACCCACTGAGCTTTGGTGTAACAGCAATGAAGTTAAAAAAAAAAAAGGCAAAATCGAAAAGCAACATCAAAAAATACAGCACACCCATGCATTACTTATATAAGCAACAAACTAGGGTCTTGTTGGAACTAGGACATTCAACCACATTTCTAGCTAAATAATTTCCCAAGCCAGAAGAGGCTGTAGGCAGACAGGGTGGAGGGTGGGGGACTGACACTCTCCTTTGTCTCAAACTCATATTCCTCACCATCTCTACCACCTCCACCTCTGCTTCAATGCGCAGGTGATAGAGGAAGGTGGCCAGGTCCTTTTTCATCTGGATACTGTTATCTTCTAGCTGGGCTACGGTGAAGATCCGGATGCTACATTTTCGCCACACCTGAGAGAGCACCAGATGGACAGAAGAATTAGAAGGCAAAAAAGGGAGTTAGTTTCTAAAATATGAGGCATTTGGGTCTAGAACAACCCTGCTCTAGTAAAGGGGTGTTTGTTCCTGGCTTCCTAACTACTGAACTACAGTAGGCCAAAAGACTGAGCAATACTGTAGGTTTTAATTTCCTAACAAGAAAAAAAAAAAGCAAAAAGGAAAAGAGAAAGGCTGGTGTGCTACTGTGAAATAAACACTTGGTTGGTGTCCCAGTTTCCTTGCATTCTTAAAATCCCAGAAATCGTCAAAGTAGTATGTGTCTTTTCTGATGCTAATGGAGGACAGCTGCCTGCTATCATCAGGACATGGACAGGTCACAACAATGACCAAGACTGGACTAGCAGGCTGGGACTTCATTCTCCAATCCCAGCGAGGAGAAAGAAGCTATAGGAGTCGGAGATTCCATCAAGGAAGTGGTTACCAGAGAGCTTCTGGTCAGCCAAACTTGAGACCAGCAAGGCAGAGCACACAGACGGAACCCCTTTCCTTACACTGCCTTTTGAGCATCTATTAACTTATTTTTAGAGTTATTTATTTGTTTGAAAGGCAGAGTTACACAGAGAGAGGGAAATAAAGAGAGATCTTATATCCATTGGTTCACTCTCCAAATGGCCACAATGGCTGGAGCTGGGCCAGTCCAGGAGCTTCCAGGTCTCCCTCACGGGCCCAAGGACGTGAGTCTTTCTCCATTGTTTCCCTAGGCACAGAGAGCAGGATTGCAAGCAGAGCAGCCAAGACTAACTAACACCCATATGGGATGCTAAGTAAGGGTGAAACAGATCATGGAAGAGTCAAAAATAATCCCCAATTCTGATTCTAGTCCCAACATTACACCATCAAAGAAGAATTAATCTAACAAACCAGGACAGAAGGGAGGAACAGTTTTAAAAGTTGTCTGCAGGCCCGGTGTGGTAGCTTATCAGCCTAAGTCCTTGCATTGTGCGCCGGGATCCCATATGGGCACAGGTTCACATCCTGGTGGCCCCGCTTCCCATCCGGCTCCCTGCTTGTAGCCTGGGAAAACAGTCAAGGACGGCCCAAAGCCTTGGGACCCTGCACCCATGTGGGAGTCCTGGAAGAAGCTTCTGGCTTCAGATTGGCTCAGCTCTGGCTGTTGCGCTCACTTGGGGAGTGAATCATTGAACGGAAGATCTTCCTCTGGCTCTCCTCCTCTCTGTGTATTTGACTCTCCCCACCTGCAAGCAAAAAAAAAAAAAAAAAAAAAAAGTTGTCTGCAATACCTTGTGCTGTTTCAGTAGGAATGGCAATAGCATCAGCATCCCCCCATCATGCACAATCCACCACACATCAATGTTGCCCTCAGAAAACTGCTCCACATTGCTGGGAAAGAAGGAGACGTTTTTAGACACCAGTAGGGCAAGGTGAGCAGCTGTTGTCACTCGAACTGTGCCTGCAGAGAAAAAAGAATCAGGCTGAGCTTAGGGTTGCTCTGCTTCCCACCTCGCCAGCAAAGCAAAGCTAATGCTGTCAGACAATTCGATGAGCAAGGCATCTCATTTACCTAGCAGACTGTACCTCATGAAGTTTAAGAAAAAAAAAAACACTGAGAAAATCCAAGCAGGTAACAGAATTAGATTGAGAAGCAAGTGTATGCTGCCTTACATGTTCTGATGACATTTCTAAGGTGGGTATGTGCAGTCTCAGGAGGATGCTCAAGGATAATCCTCCCAATTCCTGTGAGGATGGTAGCACAGGAAATCATCAATGTGAACATGGCCATTGGGAAGGCTGGCCATTTGGTGTAGCAATCAGAATGCTAGCTGAAGCATCTGCAAGCCATGTTAGAGTGCTAGTGCCCAAGGCACGGCTCCTATTCCGGCTTCCTGCTAGTGCAGCCTCAGGGAGGCAGCAGGCCAAGTGGTTAGATTCCAGCAACCCATGTGGGAGACCTAGACTTGGTTCCCAGATGCTAGATTCAGCCTGGTACAACCCAGCTGTTGTGGCATTTGGGAACTGAACCAGTGGACAGATGATCTCTGACTGTCTCAAATAAATGAATGACCGAATGACTGGACAGAGATCAACAATTCACAAATGTAATACAAAGCTGCAGGAGGTGGGTAAAATCCTATTATTATTACCAGTAAGTGTGGTGTCTGATTAGGACTATGTGTCAACAACGGCAGAGGAGGCTGGGGGTGGGGACAAAATGACAAGGGTTAAACTACCTCTGCTCTTTGGTCCCCCCAGTTAGTATGGCAAATGTTTTTTAATACCAATAAAAGTTTTCCAGGCGCGAGCATCTTCACTTTGGCGCCAGCCATTAGGCCAGCCCATCACCACCGTGTTGTGCTTCATGCCCCCAAGGCCACATGACTGGATGAGGTGGGAGATGCCCTCTTTCAGCTTAGCAGCCACCACCAGCTGGCAGAATCCTTTTACTTTCTCTGCCTCCATTAGATGCTTTATGGTCTGAAAGAGTCACAGAACCACAACAGTGAATTGCTTCACCCCAGACCTTTTAACCCAGTAGTCCCTCTCCACATATATTTCCAAACTCTTGCCCAACTGTTCACAACACTCTGCTTCCTGGGCCTGGAGCCTATCTTGCAAGTGCCAGGATCCGTAACACTATACGTCCTATAGAAAAGGACCCAAAGGGAAAACTGCCCATTGAAACTTTATCTTTTTTCACTTTTTTATTAAGGGCTTACTACATATTTTTACATTTTTACCTTTTCCCCTATTTTGCTTTTTTCCCTCCTGTGTAACTACTAAAAAAAAAAAAAATGAGAACAGAGATCAGCATGAAGTAAGTGTTCACCATTCTGTTTAATCGGCCAGGGTGAAGTCAGCAGGCCGAACGCTGTCTTCTGCCTTCCTCAGCCCCAGGCATGCCCTGGCTGATCTTAGCAGAAATTCAATCTGATTATTCAGTTTCATTTTAGATCTGTCTCAGTAAGTTTCCTTTTTCAGTTTCCAATTACAAAGTCCCTTTTATTTGTAATCTAATGGGAACTACTAATGACATTTCTATTTATGTGCCATTCTTCCTGACTTCCATGTAGCAAAGCTAACTGGAGAGAATCTCACTGCCTCCCAGGGGGAAGGGGAGGGAACAACGGCATGGAGGTGGATTTCATCCTCCAAAAAGCACAGACCAAGTCAGTGGGGTAACGACCAAATCGTCCTGGCTTGAAATCTGATGCTTTTTGATTTTCACCACCATTCCAGACTAAGTTTTCTTAGCATTTCTAGATCTTTAGATTATTACAGCATTCCAAAACAACACTTAGTAGAAAGTTTCATCAAATGGCAGAACTAATTTTATTATTTTAAACATCATTGTGAAAACTACTTGCTTCTTCGGGTTCAATATTAATACTCAGTACAGCCAATCAGAAATAGGAAAGGGAGCTTGCTCTTTTTGCTGCCTGTGTGTAAGAGGAGCTGCTTCCTGCCTCCTGCCGGAGGGCTGGGAAGAACACTGCCCTCAGTGCAGGTGAGAGGTTTCTTTCCACGGCTGCTCTGAGGCTCTGATCAGCGCTTGCCCTCTACTGGACATGCTCACAGCCTCAAGACACTGACAGTTTAGTAACACTTTACATGGGAAAAAGAAGGGAACAGCTACCTTCTGGTTCATCTTATTATTTGGGTGGCTGGGAATGTTCCGAAAGCAGCAGTAAGCAGGCATTCTCCTAGATCACTCAGGAAAGGGATTAACTACCAACCACCGAGCCAGTGAGTCTGGTCTCCTACCTGCTCGGCAGCTAAAGCTTCACCATAGTTCTCCAGGAAGTTGCCCACAATGACTGAGCCCACAATAGTGAGGCCCTTTCCTGCTTTGAGCTGCGAGGCGAAAGTGAGCAGGCGAGGATGCTTGACATGCAAGTCTTCATCTAGTTTCAGTAACACAAGCAATTGAGGTCTGTGAGGAAAAGGGGAAAGAGGAGGAGAGGGGTGGGAGATGAGAAGGAGGGAAGGAAACACGTCAGCTTCGAGAAATAAAAGGGCAAGTCCATCTTTAACTCAGCATATCCAAGTAAAGCATATAATTTGGCTAAAAGAAGCAATCAGAGGAAATGATAGGGTCAGCACACTTGGGTTATTTTTAACGCTTCCAGTTGTATCTGAAACTGATCAGACTTCGAGGGAAAACAGTTAAGACACAGATACTAAAATCACAGATCCCGTGGAGAAAAGGGCCCCAAAGAACCACGAGGTTGGTATCATGCATCAGAACAGGCCCTTTACACCAGTGTCTCGAGCCGCACGGCTTGTTCCTGCCTGCTGCCCGTGTGCTGGGCGCCATGGAGCGCTGCGGTCAAGTTGTTTCCTTTACCTCCAGTTCTTAGTGTGTGGAGGCCCTTCTTCCAGGCGAAGTAAAGCAAACCGGGCTGCACTGAGGGACAGCCCGCGGATACCATCACCCCACTCTTTCTCAGCGCTGGCAGACAAAGCAGAAGAGCAAAGACACACATTTAAATTACAATTTCAAGAAACAAATTGTTCTTTAATCTGAAAGTGACATATGCACTTAGTAGAAGATTGAAGCGCATACTGATGGCATGTGTAGTACTCTTTTTTATATACATCTTTAAAATTTGTCATGATACGGTTCCATAAGCATCCTCCCATTCCTCCCACCATTGCTTTTCTCCATATTATTACAATAGTGTAGTCCTTCAGCAACAGTCACAAGTATAACATTCTATTTAAGTGTATCATGGCATTACAGACAATGATAGAAAGTCTAGTATCATTGTTAAGGTATGTTTAATAGCTTCTTTGGAAATCCTCCCTTTATTCAGGATTGATCCTCTTTTTGTGCTGATTTTAGGATTATTTTGCTACTGTCCTTCTGACTCCTTCAGATGAATATTTGGCTTGTTTACTTAGTTCCTTTCTTGCTTCCTAACATATGTGCTAATTGCAAAAAATATCTCTCTTAACACTACCTTGGCAGAATCCTATAGGTTTTGGTATGTCATACTGAAATTTTCATTCATTTCAAGAGATTTTCAAAATTTCCTCTTTGATTTATTCTAACCAGTGCATTTATGTACTTTTAGCAGAGAGCAAGGTAAAATCCACACTCACCCTTGGTATTCGATATACTTGTAGATCATGCCAGCTATTACCATGGCAACAATGGCATAATACCAAGAAGAGATGAACATCAGAGCCAGACAGATACTCATTCCCATGAAAGACAGGGTCCTAGAAAATGGAAAACAAAAACACAAAGGTGTCTTTCTAAGCAGCTAAAAAATGTCTGTCCTAGTGCCCGGTGTGATAGCGCAATGGTTAAAGTCCACGCCTTGCACACCCGGGATCCCATATGGTCACAGCTTCTAATCCCAGTGACCCTGCTTCCCATCCAGCTCCCTGCCTGTGGCCTAGGACAGCAGTTGAGGACGGCCCAAGTCCTTGGGACCCTGTACCCACATGGGAGACCTGAAAGAGCTTCTGGCTCCTGGCTTTGGATTCGCTCAGCTCCAGCTGTTGTGGCTGCTTGGCGAGTGAGCCATCAGACGGAAGATCTTCCTCTCTGTCTCTCCTCCTCTCTGTATATCTGCCTTTCCAATAAAAATAAATAATTCTTAAGAAAAAATGTCTGTGCTAGAAGTACTTCTCACACTGGCTGATGAGGGATTGCCTGAAAAATTTCAATCTGTTACAGAAAGATTTTTTAGAAAGTACAACAATGACTGAGACACGCATGAGTGTGCACTGACCCCCAACCCATCGTTTGTACTAGTGGATGCTGGAATAACAGAAATGGACAGGGATGCTATGAAAGCCATGAGAATGGTTAATACTTACTTGTGTTATAGAGAAGTAATACAAGCAATACAGTTAATACTTGCTTACAAGGAAGCAGCATGTGGCCAGATGTATTAACAACTATGATCTTTTATAACAGATTTCATCCAAATATTCCCAAAACTTTTAGGAGAATTTGACAGTGTAACTGTAAATACAGCCTGTGAGAAAAAAACTACCACTGATTTTCTTACTGTATCCAAGAGAAACTTGGTAGAGCAAGGAAGTGTTTATTTTGATCAGGTAAACTACATATACTGGAGTTCTTCTGCATATAGAATTAATTTCCTAGGTTTAGGATAACTGTAAACAACGACTAGGAAAGTTGTTAAACTGGGGCTTAATCTAGTTCTAATGAAAAATAGGGTAAAAGCAAAGACAGTAAGAGAAGCAAAATAGCAAGACACATACAAAGTTTGCAATGAACTTCGCACTCAAGCTAAAGCTAGAAAGAAGACCAGAGATGTTATCTTATCATCAGCTCAAGTTCTAATGTTTTTCCAGATAAAGGTCTTGTCACTAACCACCACTGGTAAGGCAAGGCCAGAAAGGGATCAAGAAGTTAGCAACAAAAATATGGCAGCTGGGACACACAGGACATAATTAAGGGACCATGTTAAGTGCCCTCTGCCCCACATTGGAGTACCTCAGCATAATACCTGGCTCAAGCTTTTGACTCCAGCTGCCTGTTAACGCACACCCTAGGAGGCAACAGCGATGGCTCAAGAAATCAGGTTCTTGCTACTGGACAGGAAGAACTGGAATGAGTACCTCAGCTCCCAGCTTTGACACTGAGGGCACCTGAGTGGCAAACCCGCCAATGGGAGCTGTCACTCTCTGCCTCCCAAGCAAACAAATATTTTTTAGAAAACTCTCAAAATCCTTAGCTATGAGAGAAAATAAAAAAGTACAAAACAAGACAGGCACCAGCATTTTGGTGCAGTAGATTAAAGCAAGTGCCTGAGATGCCAGCATCCCATAGAGCACCAGAATTTGAGTATCCAGCTGTTCCATTTCCCATCCAGCTCCCTGCGCATGTGCCTGGGGAAGACAGTGCCAATGTATTTGTGTCCTTGCTGGAAGACCTCGATAGAGTTCCAGGTTCCTGGCTTTGGCCCAGCTCAGCCCAGGTCAGTGCAAACATTTGGGGAGTGAAGCAGCAAATGGAAGATCTCTTTCCTTGTAAGTACTCTTCCCAAATAGATAACTTTTTAAACATGCATGCACATTTATGGCTTCTATGGGTTGGAGAGAACTTCACAAAGAACCAGGCACTACATGTAGCACTTTAAAGTTACTGGTTCTGAGGCCAGCATGGTGACAAGCGGGTTAGTCCTCCACCTATGGTGCAGGCATCTCATGCAGATTCTGGTTCATGTCCTGGCTGCTCTACTTCTGATCTAGCTCCCTGCTAACGATCTGGGAAAGCAGCAGAGGATGCCTCAAGTCTTTGCGCCTCTGTGTCCATGAAGAAGCTCCTGGCTCTTGGTTTCAGATCAGCTCAGTTCTGGCTGTTGTGGCCATTTGAGGAGTGAACCAGTGGATGGAAGGTCTCTTTCTCCCTCTGACTCTCCTCTCTGTAAATCTGCCTTTTAAATAAAACAAATAAATCTTTTTTATAAAGAGATATTGATGCCTGGGCACATTGCCACTCAGTGCTAAGCTGCCACCTGCAATGCTGGAATTGGCACTGGTTTGAGTCCCAGTTGCTCCACTTCCAATCCAGCTTACTGCTAAATGCCTGAGAAAGCACTGGAAGTGGTAGACTCTCTGGGCACTGTCACCCTGTCACTGAGACCTGGATGGGGTTCCAGACTTCTGGTTTCTTCCTGGCCTGGTCCTGGCTGCTGTGGCCATCTGGGGCATGCATCAGCATATGAAAGACTTGTCTGTCTCCCACTCTTTTTCTGTCGCTCTGTCCTTCATGTAAATAATTAAATCAATAGAAAATAAAGTCAAAGTTTATATGGTTACATGCTCTGCTGAAAGTTACATACAACTAGGCAGAAAAACAGCTGAGATTCAAACTTGGATCATGTTACTCTAAACCTCATACTCCAGCTACTAAATGAAGTTGTCACAAGGAAGACAGTGTGAGAATGAAAACAAAAAAAAATCCAAGTAAAGACAAAAATCAACAGAAGTCCAGCGCTAAGAAATAAGGACGGCCCAGGCACAGCAGCCTAGTGGCTAAAGTCCTCACCTTGCATGCACTGAGATTCCATATGGACGCCAGTTTGTATCCTGACTGCTCCACTTCCCATCCAGCTCCCTGCTTGTGGCCTGGGAAAACAGTCGAGGTAAGCCCAAAGCCTTGGGACCCTGCACCCACGTGGGAGACTCAAAGAGGCTCCTGGATTTTGGCTACGGATCAGCTCAGCTCCGGCCATTCCAACTACTTGGGGTGTGAACCAGCAGATGGAAGATCTTTCTGTCTCCTTCTCTTAAATCTGCCTTTTCAATAAAAAAAATTAAAAATAAAACTTTAAAAAAAGAGAGAAATAAGGAAATAAAATATGCAAAAAGGAAGGCTATTTTTTTTTAAGATTTATTTATTTTTATTGGAAAGGCGGATATAAAGAGGAGGAGAGACAGAGAGGAAGATCTTCCATTTGATAGTTCAGTCCCCCAGTGACCGCAATGGCTGGAGCTGCGCCAATCTGAAGCCAGGAGCTCCTGCCAAGTCTCCCACGTGGTGCAGGGTCCCAAGGCTTTGTGCCGTCCTGGGACTGCTTTCCCAGGCCACAAGCAGCGAACTGGATGGGAAGTGGAGCTGCTGGGATTAGAACCGGTGCCCATATTGGATCCCAGCATGTGCAATCTGAGGACTTTAAGCACTATGGTATCGTGCTGGGCCCTGGCTTTGGTTTTTAATTTCAGCAGCTGTTATAAGTCATTATGAAGTGAAAAGCTCACTATGAGGGTAGAGTTTTGGATGAGAGCTGCTGATATTCTGACACCTCACCATTTATTAGCGTTTTAGGTCAATGATGGGTTCTTTCCAAACGTGGGAAAGAAGCAAAGCGGACTTACCAGTGGTAGTAGCGGAATCGGGGTCTCCAGTTGGGTGTTCGAAGTAAGGTTTGCAAGGCACAAGCCAAGTTCACAAAGAGGTAACACATGAGAAAAAACCTGTGAGAATAAAATAGTAATTCAAAGAATAAGAGTGACTGTTATTGTAAAGTGATTCTTTTGAGGGTTATTTTAGGTAACTAGAGAAGTTTTCATATTGAAGTCTGTTTCTTGACATGAATCCTTGGTAACACAGGCTATAAACGTACCCGTTCACCTGCCCACGTTCTCAGCGGCACAGCCATTCTCTCCAGTGCTTCTGGCTCATCACGGTCTCTTCTTCCTTACTCACCCTTGTTCCAAATTCACTTACACAGTCATAAAGATTCAACCTATTGGGCCCGGCGCGGTGGCGCAAGTGGTTGGGGTCCTCGCCTTGCAAGCCCGGGATCCCATGCGGGCGCCGGTTCTAATCCCGGCAGCCCCGCTTCCCTTCCAGCTCCCTGCCTGTGGCCCGGGAAAGCAGTCGAGGATGGCCCAAAGCTTTGGGACCCTGCACCCATGTGGGAGACCCGGAAGAGGCTTCGGATTGGCATGGCATCGGCCGTTGCACTCGGAGGATCTTCCTCTCTGTCTCTCCTCTCTGTATATCCGCCTTTCCAATAAAAAAATAATAATAAAAATAAATCTTTAAAAAAAAAAGATTCAACCTATTTAAAAATCTCCAAACCTGTCTTCTTCTTTTTTAACTCTACTACTATCACCTTCTTAGTTCACACTTTTATTTCCCCTTTCCAAACAGCATTTCTAGCTCAAATTTAGCTTTTTTGTAATCAACTTTTATGCCTCTTTAATATTCCTTTTATACCAACCTGGGCATTTTAAAACATAGATATGAACACAATATTATTTTGTTTTCAAAAGATTATCCATTGCTTTCAGGTCAAAGTTCCAAGATTCCTGTGTAGATGCAGAGGTCCAAATATTTGGGTGGTCTTCTGCTACTTTCCCAGACATATTATCAGAGAGCTGGACCAGCAGTGGAGTAGCCAGGACTCAAAACAATGTCCACATGGGATGCTGGCATCACAGGTGGTAGCTTTACCTGCTATGCTATAATGCCGGCCCCTCCTCAATGTCTTCATGCTTAGTCCATGCCTGGAGTCTTCTCCTTTCATTCTTTGCTTGGCCGGTCACTACTTAAGATCCAAATGTCGCGTTCTGAAGGACATCTCTCTTGAGTTTCAGTCTATTTGGATGCCTTGCTTCAGAGTTCCTGTGATATCTAATGCTATTACAGCTTTTGCCTCACTGCCTGGGCATCACTGGTTTCCTGATTTATGAGACTGTGTCTCATTTGCTTATGTATTTCTGTTATATTACAGAATGTCATAGTAAGGTAGGCAAGAAGTCATCAGGTGAATGAAGGAATGAATGAAAGCTAACACAGCAGTAGTAAACACTACTACAAATGAAGGCGCAGAACTTTTTTTCTTCTTTGTGCTAACACATCTATTCATATCATGAGTAGATGGTATGCACACCAGTGTGTGGTAAAATCACACGTTGCCATCTAACTTAACGTGCTTGCGTCTTAGGCAGACTGACACTTCTTACACATACTGCAAGTTGTCCAATGATGACCCTATTTACTTCTTTTATTAGAATTCCCAGATGAGGAAAGCTTATCAGTTCCACTCCTACTCAAAACTCCTGGTAAAACTAAATATAACAGAGCTTCATGAGGATTCAAGAATTTATAGAATTTAATTTTTTTTAAAAAAAGAGTTATTTATTTAAAACTTAGAAAGCTGAGAGAGAGTAGGGCAGACACGGAAAAAGAGATTTCTACCTACTGCCTTACTCCCCAAATGTCAGCAATGGCTAGGCTTCAGCCAGGCTGACACTCAAGCTTAAACTCCATGTGGGTCTCCCCTGTAGATGGCAAGTGCTTGCTGCTTTTTCAGGTGCATTAGCAGAAATCTGGATGAGAATTGGAGCAGCCAGAACTCAAATACATTGGATGCTGGTTTGCAAGCAGCAGCTTAAGCCATTGTATCACAACACTGGTCTTAATGCAAGTATTTTAAATGTTCATTTTCTGTTTATTACTTATTTGAAAGGCAGAGTGACAGAGCAAGTTCAAGTATGTGTGTGTGTGTGAGTGAGAGACAGAGAGAATGACTGAATCTTGCATCTGCTGGTTCACTCCCCAAATGTCCAAAAGTTGGGAGCTCAGAACTCCAATAGTCTCCTTATGGAGCAGCAAGTCTCAACTAGCTGAGCTATCATTTGCTGTCTCCAAGGGAACATTAGCAGGAAGCTGGATTGGAAGTGGAGCAGCCAAGCATCTGTAGGCAAGGGTTGGGATGGAGGGTGGCCTGGGCTTGGTTGGGTTAGGCCACAGTACCTGCTGGCATGCACAAAAACAGGGGAGGCCTGGTGGAGTTACTGGGAGTCTCCCCTATTAAGCGGCAACAACTGCTGGGGTGCGTATGAGCTGGACCTGGGCCAAGCTAGGTTGTAGTGCCCACTGCTTTGCATGGGAGACAGAGCCAGAGGCGGGACTGACTAGACAACTGCACCCACCAGTACATGAAATGGCTGGTGTGGGAGATGGACTGAACCTGACCCTGCACTAACTGGCACACATGAGAATCAAGTCCGAGGACTTCCCAGGTGAAGTTTCTTGGCAGAATCCCCCCTAGACCACTGGTCTCAAACTCCATCCTCAGGAAAAACCACAGATATATGATCCAACCTGGAGTGCATGTACCAGGGTTAGGACTTCTCAGCTACTCCTAAAATGGAAAACATACTCAGATGCACACAGGGGACATGATAACCAGCTCATCTAGACCAGCAACGGATACTGAGTACCTCATCAGAGGACAGAAAAGTAGAAGAGGTTGGACCAAGCTTTGCAACATGTTGCTGGGCCTGTGGATGCACCTTAGTGGACTTAGGTCAGCCAATAGACCTTGGAAAGACTTTCTCAACCCCGGTGCAATGAAGCCAACAATATCTCAGAACTATCAAAACCACTTAAGTCAATACCCTTTGAACATTCTTCTCCATGTTGGGGTCTCTAAAGCATCATCAAAGGACCATCTCCCATCCCTGGGTGCCGATGTAGCTTAACGTTCCCCTCCCTTCCACCAAGCCCCTGTGGACACTGGAGAGAAAAAAAACCTGAAACATTGATCTACCCGCCCTCTTAGACACCTGAAAACTCCCCACCCTAATCAGAGGCCCTCTTGGGTATGCATATCCTTCTCAACTATGTAATCAAAACTATAAACAAAACAAAAACAGGAAGTAGAACAGACAAGGTATGAACCAAGCACTCCAATGCAGGATTCGGGAATCCTAGTGGTGGACTAACATCCCCACCCCTAACCAAGGCTGGCATTGTTATCAAGGCATTGATGCACCATGGTGTAGGACAACAGTTGAGCCTGAACCCACAGCCACCGACTCAGAAAGGTCACCCACCCAACAAACTCTTGAAGTCATATAGGTACAGAAGAAACAACAACAACAACAAAAAAGACAATCTAAAAAGTTAACCTTTCGTCTAAGTTCTCAGGAATATTTATTAAGTGAAATTATGCCTGTATTTGATCCGCTCTATTATTATCTAGTACTGTCATATGACTAATGAGAATCAACATATATTTTAATATCATTGAAGCAAGAGCAATTTAAGAGAATAACTAGTTCTTACATGGAGAGAATCGGAGCCACAAGATCCAAGGAGGCAATAAGGATTCCTAGTTCTGCAATGGCGGCGGTCAGAAGTAAAGCCCAGGTGGGTTCTCCATTGGCTTTGCTGTGACCAAAAACCTGTTCACAGAAGAGAAAGCATCAGGCACAGGAATACTGGGCAAATGCTCCCTGACTGCTTTATTCTACACTTTTACACATATATACCAATCACATAAAACTAAAAGCATACATCTCTGAAGTTATGATCTAGTAATTAATTCCAAGTCTCACAAAGACCTATTTTTCATAAAGCCTGAGGAGAAACAGGGCACAGGAGAAGGTCACTCACCCTTAGAAATGGTATGATGTTATCCTTGGCAATGGCTTGCAGCAGCCTTGGTGCACCTGTGAGGCTCTGGAGTCCAGCCCCACATGTTGAAAAGAATGAGCCAATAACTATCACCCATGGGGATGGCCAAGATAAGGTGCCTACCACCAGATTACCCTTCACAGCATCCCCAAACCTGGGAAAGAAATCAGAGTAGGGAGATTTAGGAGAGAGGTTCACCCAGTTTTTCTATTCACACTTTATAGGGAATCCCAAATTGAGGTAGAACTGAACATTAAGAAATGTAAAGATAGGGCCTGGCATCGATGGTTCAATGGCTAATCCTCCCCTTGTAAGTGCTGGCGTGCTGGTTCATGTCCCAGCTGCTCCACTTTCTATACAGTCCCTGTTTATGGCCTGGGAAAGCGGCAGAGGATGAACCAAAGCCTTGAGACCCTGCACCTGAGTGGGAGACCCGGAAGAGGCGCCTATCTCCTGGTTTTGGATCAGCTCAGCTCTAGCCATTGTAGCCACTTGGAGACAGAACCAGTGGATGGAACATCTTTCTCTGTCTCTCCTCTCTATAAATCTGATCCACCTTTCCAATAAAAATAAGTAAATCTTTTTTTAAAATGTAAAGATAGATTTGATCAAAGTACTGTTGTAATGGACATCTGGCGACCATTTACATTTTTAACCTGGCATCAGGATTCTGGATTTGATTCTCAGGTCTGGCTCCATATTCCAGCTCATCTTTATTTGAACCTTGGAAGGCATCAGTGATGCTGCTGGCTCAGGGATACAGCCCAGCTCACTCTGGATGCTGTAGGCATTTGGGGGATGGATCAGTGTATTGGACCTCTATGTCCTCTTGCCTTGCAAATAAGTACATGAAAAAAAAAAATTTTAAAGGCACCTTTGACCTGTGCTGAGAAAAAACAGACTTACGGTTGGATAAGAAGCTAAGTGTCAATTACAGATTATCTGTTCAGATAAGGTATCTTTTTTTGAAGACAATTTGAAAAAGTAGAGAAAAATACAAAAACAAAACACTCAACAGAAAAGGGGAGCTATTGTGGCGCAGCAGCTTAAGTCAGTACCTATGACACTGGCATCCCACGTAAGCCCTAGTTTGAGTCCAGACTGCTCCACTTCCAATCCAGCTCACTGCTAACAGTGAAAGCAGCAGAAGACAGCCTAAGTGCCTGGGCCTCTGTTACCCATGCAGCAGATAGGGACAGTGTGCTGGGCTCTGGGCTCTGGCCCAATCCCAGTTGTGGCCATTTATGGAATAATCAGAAGACAGAAGATTGTTCTCTCCCTCTCTGTAATTCTGCCTTCCAAATACATAAACAAATCTTTTAAAGGAAAGAAAACCCATAATCTTAACAGTTCAAATACTTCACATATTTTAGTCCATTATTATTATTATTATTATTATTATTTTAAAAGTGAGATCTCAGTGTGCCTATAGTATGTCTTCTTTTAAAGTAGATGCATTTTTCTGTGTAATTGAAAACTATGGAAAAATTTCAGTGGCTTGAATAACACTGCATTCTAGTTACACAATCCATTCTTCTAGCATTGGTTTTCTGCCACACAAAACACAACTAACACCTTTTTGCACTCATCTACATTAACACTTCAGATTGTTTTTCCTTATGGCAGATTTCTACTTGTTACAGAAAGACCCAGTATTTTAAAAAATTTCAAAATGACTAACAAACTGTTTTCTAATCTGAGGTTACATTTTAAAACTATTTATTTATTCATTTGAGAATCAGAAAGAAAGATAGAGAGGGCTGGTCTACTGTTTCATGCCCACAAGAGCTGGGTCCCCAAAGGCCCACAAGAGCTAGGTCTGGGCAAGTACCAGGAGCCGAGAATACAATCCAGGCTTCACATTAGTGGCAGGAACTGAAATACGTGGGTCCTCACTGATATCCCCAAAGGTCTGCTTTAGCAGGAAATTAGAGACAGACAGACACAGACAAACAATATTTTCCATTCGCTGGTTCATTCCCCAGGGCTGGACCAGACCAAGCCAGGAGCCCAAACTCCATCTGTATTTCCCATGTGGTGCCAGAAACCCTCAAAGTACTTAAATCATCATCTGCTGCTTCTCAGGATGCATTAGCCGAATGCTGGATTGGAAGTGGAGCAGCCAGGACTCAAACCGACACCTACACAGGACACCTGCCTTGCAGGAGGTGGCTGAATCCAGCACACACACAGCCGGCACCAAACTGATCGGTCTTTAAGAGGCTCAGGCAAGCTCTTATAAGCAGACACATTTGTCTGAAAACATTTTGTGTTTTAGAGAAATCAATCTGGGGGAGTTGTACAAGGATTAGGTTATTAACAGAAAGGGAAATGACAGTAATGTGTGCAAAACTTTCTGAAGGCCTTCACAAAGTGATGGAGATAAAAAGAACAGAAAGTGAGATCTACCAGCATTGAAAAGTGAAATATACAGAGCGACCAGATGGATGCGGGAAGTATGTGATGGGAAATATCTAGGATGAGAGCTATGTTTCCATTTTGAGAGAGGGAAGAATGGTGAGGCCATCAACCAACACACAGCTAATGTGATGAGCAGCAGTAAGTTTGGCAGAAATATTTGTCGAGATAAAATATCTACAAAATATTTTTTATACTCCAAGGTGAAGGAAAGGAAAAACATATTCAGTGGACTCCGTAAAGGAAATAAGAAAGCAATTTTTAGGATTTTATTTAGAATGTCAAACAGAGTTAGAAATCACTGAGGAGATGCTAGAAGTGCTTTAAAGATTTTTAGTCTATTTATTTGCCTTCCTTCATTTTTTGGCTGGTTTTCTAACACTAATGTATAGCAAAGTCTTTTACTATCCAAACTCACTGTTTTCCCAACGCTGTATTCACTGCATCTAACATAATTACAACAACACACTAGCCCTTACTTGTCAACAGCCTTTTGGAGCATTATATGTATTTTCTAATTTGTGTCATAATTAAAGCTTCAAGTTGGATTTCTGAGATGTTGGAGTCAAGTGAGATGATTGAATGTTTCACAAGACAGACCATTATGCAGAACTTAAGTACTTACTTGTCTCTGAGCACAACCCCTTCAATACACGCACCAAAAAGAACAACGTTGCTTAAATCTACCATATTGAGAGTTAAGAAAATGGCTGTTTACCTTCTGTTTACCTACGACAGAAAGTAGATACCTGGGATATTTCCTTTTATCAGTGAAATGATAAATAGACTAATTCTATAAACTCTTTACTGAATTTTGTGTGTGAGGGGGTCATTTTATGTGGCAGGAAGGGCAGTAGGAAGCAGTTATCTTTATTCGCAGGACAGGAATCCTCACCGCCCTGGTCCTACTGGGCAGCCCCGTGACCAAAGCTCGGCCTGCGTCTGGGAAAAGGATACACACGAAGGATGTGGTCAGGATGGCAAGGATTGTGCCGATGGGGATGGACTTTTGGGCGTCCTTCAGATCTCCAGATCTGTTTGATCCAGCCATGATCCCTTTGGAGAGAGAGGGAAGGAAAGTTAACATTTTCAGTTCTTGGGCACTTTGGTATTCATGCTGTTACCAAAGACTGCAGGCACACGTAGAAACGCTGAGAATATAATTTTGTCTCCTGAGAAAAACAACTTCCAGGGTCTCACGGCTTCCAAAACAGACAATGGTGCCTCGGCTTACCTGTGACAGAGGGGAAGAAGATTCCCACCAGGAGCGTGAAGGAGGTGGTGATGTCAACAAGGACATATTCATGGTTTAAGCTGCCCAGAACATCAGACGATTTCGCGGAGGGTTTTTCGATAATCTCTCCCTTGGGTAGGTAATTACTCCAAAGATTCTCTGCAGTGGGGGAGGAAAAAAGGTTGCCATAAGCAGCAGTGGTAAACGAAGGTAATCACATCATTTGCTACTCAAACAGTATTCCAAATTAGCCTTCGCATTTATGTAATTTGTAAAGGCATAGTTGCTTCTTCCACATGAGCTCATGTACACATGTGCTCACATGTACTGCACCATGAAACACATATGAACAAAAACAGAAAGCCTGCTGTGGCTCAGGTGAACGCAGTTAACTTTAGTAACACAAGGTAGTAGAAATGCAGGAGACTAAAGATGAATTTCCTGCAAATCATAGCTATTTGCCATTACTTGCCAATGCTTTTCCTAACTCATTAAAGTTAACTGCTTACAAGTAATGAGATTTAAGGACCAGACAGTTCAGACAGCTGTCATCTAAAGAGTTTCAGCAATTTAGCTTAGTTAAGAAAAAAGTGTGTGTGGGCCCGGCACAATAGCATAATAGTTAAAGTCCTCACCTTGCACTTGCCAGGATCCCATATGGGTGCTAATTCTAATCCTGGCAGCCCTGCTTCCCATACAGCTCTCTGCTTGTGACCTGGGAAAGGAGTCGAGGATGGCCCAAAACCTTGGGACCCTGCACCCACATGGGAGACCCACAAGAGGCTCCTGGCTCCTAGTTTTGGATTGGCTCAGCTCCAGCTGCTGCAGTCGTTTGGGGAGTGAAGCATTGGATGAAAGATGTTTCTCTCTGTCTCTCCTCCTCTCTGTATGTCTGCCTTTCTAATAAAAAAAAAATATTTTTTTTTTTTAAAGAAAAACATGTGTGGACATGGTCACACTAATTTAGTTCTATTCTAGATTTCAATGCAGGAAAGAAAAAGAAGGGAACTTTCATAAAAATAAACAAGATATTTTAGCTTATCCTAGGTTAAAAAAGTAATTTCCTTGGTTCTGTTTTTAAAGGGAGGTAAATTTTAGTAGACAACACTGTGCAAGGAAGTCGTAAATAAGGATAATTGGACTAAGAGAAAAGCAGAAACGTTGATTTAAAAGTCGTGTGTTGAACTGAAGGAGGGACGTGACATCATGGCTGAGAACCTTTAGACAGTGTGGAAGGCTAATGTGACAAATCCCCTCAACCAACAAATCTCCTCAGCTAAATACCCTCTTAACTTACCTGTAATGATACCACTAGCTAACCCAGGAATGCCCTGGATCGAAGTGACGTTATTGTGAATAAAGTATTCATCACAGGTGGCATTGAAAAACTGGCTTGAGTTACAAAAAAAGCCCCATAACTTTGATGGGACTGTCATGTTGTTAACGTCCTTGACTTTAGAGCACACATCAAGGTGTCTTGAGGAAAGAGTGCGGTTACCCAACATGCAGACCCTAAGTGAAGACAAACAGGGAGAAAGAGGAAGGAAAAGAAAGCACATTCTTTAAAAAGGCAGTTGGGTTATCACAGCAAAAAACAAACAGAAAATCTTATTCCTAAGAGCTTTTGCTGCCTGCATGGGAAAGGATCTAATACTTATTAATTAGCATTGTAAATGGTAACTTACATTTTCTGTTAATTCAATGCTTATCGGGATCTCATAATGTTACTACTAACATATTTCTACGTTTGTGGATCATAACTGGAATTTGGGCCCAGTGTGATAGCCTAATGGCTAAAGTCCTTGACTTGCAATGCACTAGGATTCCATATAGGTGCCGGTTCTAATCCTGGTTGCTTCACTTCCCATCTAGCTCCCTGCTTGTGACCTGGGAGCAGAATTGAGGACCTGCCTTGGGACCCTGCAGGCACATGGGAGACCCAGAAGCTCCTGGCTTCTGGCTTTGGATTGGCTCAGCTCTAGCCATAGCAGCCACTTGGGAAGTGAATCAATGGACGGAAGATCTTCCTCTCTGTCTCTCCTCCTCTCTGTATATCTGCCTTACAATAAAAATAAACAAATAAATCTATTTAAAAAAAAAAACCTTGAATTTAGGAAATTATCTGCCCAAGGTTATACAGGTGGTAGGGTAGCAATGACAGAATTCAAACAGAATGGTTCAATGACACATTGCTGGCTCATTTTCCAAAAATTTTAAGCAATTGTTGGTTTTTAAAATTCCCTGTAGTCATCTTGTTATTATTTTTTAAATGTTCTGATTTTTTTGGGGGGGGGAGCCTAAAAAATAAAAGTTATGTTTATAATAATCCCCTTGGAAATGGTGTTCTAAAGGTCAAACTTTTGGCTACTCTTGTGAGAAGGACAGTGCGGCTACAACGAAAAAATCACAACTTTTATGGCCTAAGAAAAAATACTTTTTGAACTTAAGCCTAGACTCAGTGGAAGTGAGGGTATTTAAGGATAACACAAAAAATAACTGCTTATTTTTTCTTTATCCCAGAGACATAAAGTGAACAAAGGGGTAATACACCCACAGTAAAATATCTCTTAGGAGTAACAAAGCTACTTTTAAAATCTGGAAATTAATTATACACACACATAATGAACCGAACAACTATTTCTTAGCTTAGATAACTCAGTATTTCCCAGACTCATCTCACGTGTAACTCTAGATTTTCGGTCTTATTTTGAATATTTTCGAGAAGATGTGTTGTGTCATGACTGTTTACCAACCAAGAGGAAGAGGATAAGCAAAGGAGAACCCGAGGCAGGACGGAATCAGCCATGTTGAGCTATAACTAGCATGCTGCTTTTAGAATATTATGTCTCTAAAAAGGATCTTCAGCTACTTCACAGTCCCTTAATGAGCACAATAAAAATTGGTGATGGAATCTATTTGTGATATCGTACAGCATGGCATGGAAGCAGCCCTGCACTGGGAATCAGGAAATCGCAGGGTTCACATTTTTGCTTTGAGTCTAACGTGGGGCAAGTCATTAAGCTTCAATGTCCCTGTTTTTTCATCTTGAATAATCTAATTTTCTGTACTCTGGGCTTAGTCAACATCGATCTGGTAAGTCTGACAAGATGATTCAGATGACTTTTCAAAGACAATCTCTGTAGTAAGAGTACAAACACCAGCTAGTGTTGGGTCCCTATGCCACTGGCCAAGCGAAAAGACGGGAGCCTGTGCTTCACAAATCCGCACAAATCCATTACTTCTTCAATACTTTATGATCTGTACTACTGTGGATATAGTATTACCCACATGCATAAATATCTGCAAATAATACAGGCTGTTTCCATTTATTTTATGAGAAAGTTCATTACACTACTAATAATAAAAACATATAATTAGTTGAAAAATTTATGTAAGTTTCTTCTGACTCCAGCATTTAGATATTTTACAAAGCTTATTAGCCACAACCCACACTGTAAAGCCCTTAATGAGCAGTACAAATATAGACAGTCGTTTCCGGAGGGAAGATCCCTCTGATCTCTGCCTTAAGCGGGGTTAACAGCCGCTAGTTCTTACACAGGAACATAAGGACCTGGGTTCATATGACAGTTTATCAAGAGACTGCCTGAATGCTTTTGGGACTTAACGGGGGCAAATCTCACAGACACTGAGAAATTTTGATGGAAATTATCACACCACCCAATGTATCAATGGCTTTGCATCATGATGGCTAAGTAAAAGAACAGGCACATACGGGAAGTGTGGAGGGGCAAAAGACGACTTGATGGCCCCAGCATAGATGGCCAAGATGGACACAATGACACAGGCCAGGAAAAGAGAGGCAAACTTGTTCACATAGCGCACGCCGATGAATACCACCAGTACCAGGAGAACCAAGAAAGCTGTGCCATAGACACGCATGTTATTAAGCATGGCTGCCGATTCTTTGAGAGCATCCTCACTGCGAAAGATGGCAGCCCGGGGAACAATATACACCTGCCAGGTAGAAGGAGGAGAAAGTGAGGTAAGTTCAAATGAAGTCTGTAGTGGTCTGCATTGCTTTCACAAAGGACAACAAATGGAAAATGGCTGGAGAACCAGTCAAATTCCTGTTTGGATTCACCATGCCTATCAAAACAGAACGTCACAGATTTTTTTTTCCCCCACATGCTAGTACATAAAATTACATTTCAAAACAGAGGGGGGGGGGAAATGGGACTAAATAATTTTACTCAAAGTGTTCTATTAAATTATAATTAACATGAGACCTACCTATCTGATATTCCCAGTTAACAGAAATGAAAAAACATTCTTATTTCATTACAATAAAGATATCAAAGAAAGTCAACATTATTTTACTTTTTTCCTCCTTGGCAGAAGTGCTGCTTCCAAGAATTCGTCTTGGGAGAGTGGCAGTGACAGGGTGGAGGGACAAGCTGTGCAGGCAAAGGACACCTCAAGCTTTCTGCCTCATTCAGTTTGTGGCCAGTAACAGGCTAGCAGTCAGCCACCTAATTGATGACTATGGCTCACCTCTCAGAACTTTGATGCTAAAGGACAAAACAAACCCAAAGCTAAACTCAATACAGACCACAATTAATTCCTGACTTACCAGAAAAATTTCAATGGCTCCAAGGATATACATGGCTGCCGCAAATGTGGTACCGAGATAAAAGCAGAGGCCAACAGCGCCACCAAACTCTGGGCCCAGAGCCCGGGAGATCATAAAGTATGAGCCTCCAGCTATAAGACAGAATAAAAAGTGAACAGGATAAAGTGAGTACATTAGTAAGAGACATGTAAACAAGACATAACAACAAAAGCATGCATGACAGATACTTTTTCATGCCTCAAAAAATCCTAAGGATGACAAAAGGATTTGCCAGTGGGAAGTAATGAACCTTGGACTAAAGTTGTAGTGCAGTGGCCTAAGCCACCACTTATGGCACTGGCATACCATATTGTCCCAGCTCTCCATTTCCGATCTAGCTCCTGCTCATGTGCCTGGGAAAGCAGCAGAGGATGATTCCAAGTGTTTGGGCCCCTGCACCCACTTGGTGGACATGGATAGTGTTCCAGGCTCCTTGTTTCAGCTTGGCCCATCCATGGCCATTGTAGCCATTTGGGGGAGTGACCCAGTGGATGGAAAAACTCAGGCTCTCCCCCTAGCTCTTTCAAATAAATAAATCTTTTTAAAATGCTAGCATTCTCCTTTATTAAAATTAAAAGATTAAACCTTTACAGAATATGATGCATAGCTAATGTGTCACATAAAGCACTTTGCCATTTTTACTACAGGCATGAGACAGCCCCCCATGCCAATACATTCTAACTATAAACTAAGTATATAACTGAAACAAAAACAATCACAACTTCAGAAAACATGATTTTACAGCTGAACAGTATTGACAATCAACAGTATTAATATCTATGGGCCTATATTTTGTTACTGTGGTCTATGGTTTGTTCCCTAAAGTTTGCACAGTGGGCTTTGTAGAATATACCCACAGTCATCAGCGATAATCCCTGAAATCCAACCTTGACCCACTGACCTGGCACCACTCCGTTAGTGGCAATGGCACTCATGGAGATAGCAGTCAGCATGGTCTGCAGGGAAAGGGAAAGGAGAAGACTGTCACTGTGTTTACACACTGCTGTGCTAGTTCCCACCTGCGGACTTCAGAGTGACTGTTTCAGGGAGAGTTGTGTGTCAAACCTAATGGCATGAAATGAGACGATGTGCTCCAGTTCACTGCATTAGCCACCAGCATCATCTGGAATATTCTGTTAAAATGCCCTAAATTGTAATCAGTAGGTTAGGTGCTATTAAAAATCTTGGGCCCTAGTTAAACAGGAAATAAAGTATATTACACTGGAAAGGGATAAATACAAAACATGGAAAAAAGGTTAAACCCTGACTAAAGTTTAGCTATGATACAATAATAATGTTCATTAAGAAAGGGAACCATGTGAGACTTCAGATCACATAACTGTATTTTAAAAATACTGCTGGGCTTAACAGAAAGCAGTGCAGACAGTGAGTAACTGGTTAAATGACAGTTTACAAGCTACAGTGGTGGCTGGGGGAAAGGAAAAGCTGAATGTAAGAGACATCACAGAGCTGAGATGCAAAAATTGGACTTGAAACTACAGGATGAGCAAAAAGTATTAAGTGCAGAAGATCTACAAATAATAAGTAAGGCTTTCTTGTTATAAGGAAAAGGATAAGGAGCCTTCGAAACAACAAAAGTCAAAATAGACAGTCAATTCTCCTCTAGGTAGCTCTGCATTTTCATTCTCAGCATATATGGTACGTAGTACATCACACTTTCCAACACATTTTGTCACAACTTTGATGCTCATGATCAACTGATTTAGATCTCAAATTCTTTGAAGGGACAACTTTGTCTACTTTTAGTTGAAGTCTTGCTTCACAACTTCCAGTACCTAACATACAAGATAGTAGACAGTAATAGGCACTCAATAACTGGCAGTCCTTCAGATTCTGACATGAGAATTTCCCCTATGTTGAGAATGAGTCCTTCCCAAACATTCTTTGTTTTCTTGACAAATAGGTCAGTGCATGTGCTCTTGAGGATGCTCCAGCTTATCTCCCAGAGCCATGCAGAACTTACACAGCAGCAGCAGATAAGGACGATTGCAAAGGCCTGGAGAACGCCAGCTGTGCCCACAACCCACGTGAGGCGAAGGAAGAGGATCACTCCAAAAATATTTTGCAGACAAGGGAGGTAGACACCCATGAAAGTACCCATTTGGGGGGTCTGAAAAGAAAGATGTTACAAATTTAAAGTTATATAGTCAACTATGAGAGACACTTTTATTCTTTTACATAAAAACTTGGACCCTAACAAACATGAATCTCAAAGCAGAGACAACAATTTTAAGAAACATCTTTACGCTCGGGGCCGTAACCTAAAGTCCTCACTTTGGATATGCTGGGATCCCATATGGGTGCTGAGTTGTATCCTGGTTGCTTCACTTCTCATCCAGCTCCCTGCTTGTGGCCTGGGAAAACAGTTGAGGATGGCCCAAAGCTTTGGGACCCTGCATCCATGTGGGTCAGCTGGAAGAGGCTTTTAGTTCCTAGCTTTGGATCAGCTCAGCTCCAGCCATTGCAGCCACTTGGGAAGTGAACCAGTGAATAAAAGATCTTTCTGTCTCTCCTTCTCTCTGTAAATATCACTTTCCAATAAAAAATAAATGACGCTTAAAAAATCTTCAAAATCTCTAACTTACAGAAGTCTACCACTATACTTTAATTATGATCGAATGTATACATGTTTAAGCTCCATGCTTTTTACAATACATAAGCATGTGGTCATAAGTTAACTTTTAAATGTGTCTCCAACAATTAAAAATTTTCTATTTTTCAAAGCTGTTAACATTTCCTTTTTACTTAGGAACAGTGTGACTTGATAGAAATCCTGCAGAATTTGGTGTAACACTTTCACAGTAGTTGGCAAGTAAAATACCCAACAAAATTAAAAATCCCAGGGATGTTCTATACCTTTCAAAGAGCTGAACTTCTTGCATCATACAATCTTTGATCTTTTCATTTTGGGAAAAACTGGTACTTTCTCGTTGCACACGCAGCACCTTTCTGACAGGTGGTGGAGGCGGGAAGTCATGATGCTCTCCTGTGGCAGGGCCTTCCCTCTCCTGGAATGCTCGTCTCTTTCCCTCACATTAGTTAGGACTCTTCTCAAGGATCAACTCGTCCTGGCTTTGTCCAGTCTGTCCAACGTGGCAGCCCCCTCCACCTGGCACCCTTGCTAATAGGTAGTCTGTTTATTCCTCTTAAGTTTTGTTATAGCATTTATTAACACTTCATGCTATGTATTTTCAGCAAGAAGAGCCTAACAACCATTTCCTCTCATTAGAATTTAGTCTATCTGGCAGCCAGCTCATTGTACACTCTCCCTGGTGACCAGATCAGCACCCAGCATACAGCAAGCATTTGTCACAGGACACAGAGTGATGCCCTGGGTTTGTAGACTGTTTTTATTTATCCTTGTCACTCTAAGGTCTCACCTTGGTGGGCTTCTTTTTCCCTTCAGTGATGTTTTCTGCTTCTTCATGCTCCTTTGCTCCTTGGGTCAGATTGGTGTAATTGGCCATGCGATTGAGGAGAGAAGACACCTTTGGTCTGGTGTCCATTTCTTCCTACAAAGCCAGAAGTATGGAAGAAGTGAGCTACACAAAATACCGAAAGCACCAAAATTACTTGTCTCCTACAAAACTGTATGGCAAAAGAGGAATTATTTCACTGGTTAAAAGTTTAAGAAAATTAATGACATTTTATTCCTCTTCCTCACAATTAAGACAACACGAATCCATTCAACACATTTTTAAAAAGCTTAAGTTGTATAAAGCTGGTGCTGTGGCATAATGGGTTAAGCTACTGCCTGTGAAGCCAACACCATATATGAGCATCAACTGAGTTTCAACTGCTTCCCTTCTGAACCAGCTCCCAGCTAATGCACCTGGGAAAGTACGCGACGGCCCACGTGCTTGGGCCCCTGTGCCCTCACGGGAGATCCAGATTGCAGTTCCATGCTCCTGCTGCCTACTCTGCCTCTCAAAAAAGTAACACCTTTTTCTTTAAGTTATATTTATGGTGTATACCTTTATGCTTTTATGTATACATAATGCAGAATGCTTATATCAAGTGGATTACTACATCTATCATCTTAATTTTTTAAAAAATAATTCTTTGTTTGTATGTTTCTAAGACAGAGTGACAGAGGGGAAGAAAGACAACTTTCATTTATTAGTTCACTTCCCAAGTGCCTGAGAGGAACGGCTGGGACTGGAGCTGGGCCAAAGCAGGAATTTCATTCTCGTGTGGGTGGCAGATATCCAAGTACCACAGCCATCACCTGCCACCTCCCAGGTGCATCAGCAGGAAGCAGGAATGAAGCAGAAGCTCAGTCTGACCCCAAGCACTCTGACAACCCTGTCACTGGGCATTCCAATCTGTAGCTTAACCAATAGCACCACAATACAAGCCCTTCAAACACCATTTTTTCATGTGTGTTGTAACATCATTCAAAATCTACTCTGCTAGCAAATTTCAAGTATAAATTAACCATAGTCACTGTGCTGCATAAAGAATGTAAAAACTGTATTCCTCCTAACTGAAATCTTGCACCCTATGACTAATATCCCTCCTCTGGCACCTATCCCTTTACCCCATAATTCCCATTCTACTGGAAATAGGATCCTTAACTACAATATCTGTCCTTCAGGACTTAGGAAAGGCTAGACTAAGCCAGTCATCTTTCAGCTTTGGACCCAATCAAACTCTTAACTACAGCAGTCATGTAACAGATCCTCTCTATTATGCTAAATGAAGTAATCCAGGCACAACAAGACAAATACTCTGTTTCCACATCTGAATGTGGAAACTGGGGCCCAGCGTGATGGCTCAATTGGTTAATCCTCACCTTGCAAGCTCCAGGATCCCATATGGGCACCAGTTCCTATGCCGGCTGCTACACTTCCCATCCAGCTCCCTGCTTATGACCTGGAAAAGCAGTACAGGAGGGCCCAAGTTCTTAGGACCCTGCACCCATCTGGGTGACCAAGAAGAGGCTCCTATCTCCTGGCTTTGGATCACCTCAGCTCAGCTCAGGCCATTGCAGTCACTTGAGGAACAAACCAGTGGATGGAAGATCTTTGTCTCTCTGTAAATATGTCTTCCCAATAAAAACTAATACATAAATCTTCTTTAAAAAATGTGGAGACTAAAAAAAAGTTAAACTCACTGAGAGTAGAATAGTGTTCATTAGAGGATGGGAGGAAGGGAAACGAGATAACGTGAGGCACAGGGGAGGAATGCTTTTGAGACCAATTGCACAGCATGGGGACTATACTTAATAACGTGCTGCACATCTCAAAAGTGCTAAAAAAGTGAAACTGAAATGCCCTACCCACAAAAACGGTAAATGAATAAACATTTAGTTTGATGTAATCATTATACAACATGTCAATACATCTAAATATTACACTGTACTCCTGAAATATATACACACATTATTTGCCAACTAAAAAAAGAAACAGATCTTCTTAATATGGCATCCTGCTTCCTATACTTTTTTTTTGTTTAGTTAATTTTAAGGTAAATGACAGCTTTGCCCAAACTAAGGTTGGAAAATACATTGCTGTGCACTTTGGAACACTGTTCCAATGTAAACATTTAAATCATAGCTGAATTAGGTTGCACATACTTTAGAAGTCAACATCCTTCTTTGTTACCTCATAGAAATTTGATTTAATGCCTATTGAACATAATTAGGTTATACAGACAAAATTAACTACAGACAAGTTATAGCAATAACTACTCTATTTTAAAATTAATAATTACATTATCCAGATTGCGCAATTAAAAATAAATGAAGTACAAAGTGGCTATCTTGAAATATCTGTTCCTAAGGTTCTAAAGCCTTCTCCCAAATATTACCTCAAAGAGTGCCAAGTTTTTATCAAAATATTCATCTCCTTCTTCATAATTGGAGTTATTGAGATAAGCGTTTCGAGCTTTCTTATGCCCATCATCTAGAAAAAAAAAGTAAAGTGTTAGTTTTTTATTCATACCAGAAGAAGCACCAGCACCAGGTAACGGCTCATTGCCTCTGCTGTTAACATAACTCACTGTTACGTGCAAATCTTATTTAAGTGTGGCACAACTCAGGCAGCATTACTTGGAGAATATGGTCCAACAGAAGTCAATATGGAGACACTATTCCTTTAGGATTCCAGCCCATTATGATCCAACTTTTCAAGTTTTCCAAATCTGGGATGAAAAACAAGTGTTTGAGTTTCCTATTCAGTGTAAAATACGGTGCTAGGCATGGATTCTTTAGACTGTTGCTGCTGACATGGCAGTAAAAGCTATCTGCCTCCAGGGCAGTCAAGCCTTTTGTAAGTGACATCAGGGTTTCTAAGTATTATTTGTCCACATGTGTTTATTTCAAACATTTCCTCACTTAAAAAGCAGAGATGGGGGAAGAAATGGAGGAACAGAGGAAGGGAAGAAGGGAATAGAAAGAAGGAGGGAGGGAAAGGAAGAAAAAGAGAGGAATCAAGATGGCAGACTACGCTCAAGACACGTTTAAACAGATGGAGAAACATTTAATCAGGATGAAGCAGAGAGGGCACATTCCAGGAAATAGGAAAGGACAGAACAACAGCAGAGGGATATCTGGAGACTGACACAGGAAAGCAGCAGACACAATGGTGTGGTGTTGTAGTGACTGATACTCCAGCAGAATTCAGCTAATGGCGATCTGAACTCCACCAGCCACCAGGTGGGAAGGGACTTTCACTGGGAGTTTGGGAGGTGAAACCAGACAAAGAACCATCCATATTGCTGGTCTGTTGGATTTTTATCAGGAGCAGAGACAAGAGCAGCAGATCCCAGATGGGCAGTGTGAAAACAGGGTGGATTTCACAGCCCAGTCAAACCCCTAGAGCCGAATCAGGCACCACTTTGCTTAAGGAGGCAAAGGCAAGGAAAAGCATTGAGCATACGCTAAGCTGAGAGTGAACTCATTTCTGGCTCAGTGAACTGCAGCAATGTGGCATTCCACAGGGTCCACCCAAGACAGGCCTGGGTAGTCCTCAGACCTGACAGACAGCAGATCAAGAACTCTAGTAGTGGTGGTACATCAGGCACCATTTTGTACACTGTGGCAATAGCTTTAGGACTGCAGGGGACAACAGTGAACTGCGCATGTACTGAGCTTGCAGGAACTCACTGAGTTTCGTGGATTACTCTGGTCCCGCAGGAAAATAATACAGACTGTGGCTTCGTACAGGTCAAAATAGGTCCATGTTGCACCCAGACTTAACGTCCAACAGGTTCCAGCAGGATCAGCATCACCAACAATCTAGCTAAATAGGACACATGTTGTGTCTCTAATCTTGAGACCTACCCCAACCGGAAGTGGGAGAAAGGTTGCAGACAATGGTGCAGTCTCAGCATGGTATCACAGGAGGTGGAAAGTTGTGAGTCAGGAGTTGGGGCTACAGAGTTCTTTGTGGAAATCTAACATAAGAACCCAGACCTGGAACTTGCTGGAGGGAGTGGCACAATTGGCTGCAAGCAAAGAGTTCTGCACCAACTCTAATTAAAATTGCATTGTAGACCTGTAGGTGACAGAGCTTAGAAACCTGCCCCAAGGAGAAGACTCTACTAACCAGAAGTACAATGACCAAGAGCAAAAGAAGAGACAAAGACACAATGAATATGACTGAAAACTCCTCTGCAAAGGAGCAAAACCCAATGCCAACCTGAGTTAACTGAGGAAGACATCGAGAAAATGGGGGACACAGAATTCAGAAAACTCATTTTAAAGCTTCTAATCAACAATGAGAAGCATATACAAGAGTTCAAAGAATTTAAGGAATATTTTACACAAGCAATAGCAGCAATAAAGCAAATCAAGGCTGATATAGCACAAATTAAGAACACAGTAAAGCAAATTAAAAGTACAGTGGAGAGTCTCCAAAATAGAATGAAGCAAGCAGAAGAAAGAATCTCAGAATTGGAAGGTATTTGCTGTCATTGGGGGAAGCAAACAAGAAGCTGAAAGCAGAGTTGGATCAGGCCAAAAAAGTATTCAAGAATTGAAAGACACTATTGGAGTCCCAGGAGGTGCAGAGAGAGAAACTGGTTTTACCAATATATTTAATGAAATAATAAAGGAAAATTTCCCTAATCTAGAGAACAAATTGGGAAACAACATCCAGGAGGGGCATAGAACTCCCAACAGGGTTGACCAAAAGCAATCTTCACCAAGACACATGATCATCAAGCTCTTCAATTGAACATAAGGAAAAGATCCTGAAATGTGCATGTGAAAAAAATCAATTGACATATAAAGGAATGCCAATTAAACTCACAAGAGATCTCTCACAGGAAACTCTATAAGGCAAGAAGAGAATGGAGTGACATATTCCAGATTCTAAAAGAAAAAAATTGTTGGCCTAGAATAACATAACCAACAAAGCTTTCTTTTGTCTTTGAAAATGAAATAAAATTCTTCCACGGCAAAGAAAAGTTACAAGAATTTGCCTCTTCCAAACCTGCTCTACAAATGATACTTAGAGATGTTCTCTTGACAGAGAAGAGGAATAGCACCTACGAAAATCAAAGGCAAACGGGAAGAACATCCCAGTAAAATGACAACAGAAGACTAAACCGATGAACAATCCATTCCTAAAATGACAGGATCAAAGTACCACCCATACGTATTAACCCTGAATGTAAACGGCTTAAGATCAAGCATCACAGATTAATAGACTGGATTAAAAAACAAAACCCATCTATTTATTGTCTAGAAGAGACACATTTCACCAACAAAAATCAGTGGAAACTATATCGCATGAATTTTGATGTTTTCTGTTAGTTTCATCTCTTCAAAACACTTCCTTCTGATTAAATTCTTCAGTGACTACAGATCAATCAGTAGCATCATTTTATGCAAGAAGGTTTTTGATTTCATTTCTTCAGCTACATGTTAGTCATTTAGTAGCATGTTATTTAACTTCATGGTGTTGTTAATTTCTTTTTTCTTCCTGATGTTGATTTTGTTTTGTGGCTTTTCATTTAAGGGGGTGTATAGTAGCTGTGTAATAGAGACTGTCAAATCTAGTAACATGTTATTTAGCTTCATCGCATTGTAAATTTCTATTTTTCTTTCTATTGTTGATTTTGCATTATGACTTTTCATTTGAGGGGATGTACAGTAGTTGTGAAGTGGAGACTAACATATCCAGATGTAAGGATACAATGTAGTATGCATTTCTACTTCCAGACAAGATGGACTTACAATGAAACTGTTTACTATATCTTGACAATAGGATTGTGGACTCTCTGCCATTGTCCATGCCCACAATGATGAACACATGACTGTGTATGAAGAACTATACTTTAGTAATGACACAGAGGAACTAGGTGGGGGAGGGGGAGGAGAATTGGGGCTGGGATAAGGGAAATACCAGAAGCCTATGGAATTGTATCATAAAATGATAACAATAATAGTAATAACAATAAAAAAAGTTGGACTAAAAAATAAAGTAACCAGTGAAAAATAACAAAAACAAAAAGACAAGACAGAGAATGAATTGAATAAACATAAATCTTCAACCCACTAGGTCACTTCCCAATGGCTGCAATGGCTGGGGCTGTGTCAGGCTGAAGCCAGGAACTCCACCTGAGTCTCTCACGTGGGTGTTGGGGCCCAGGTACTTGGAAGAGTACTGGAGAAGACGGACACAAGTGAAAAGGAGCACATTTACGAAGTGCTAAGTTCAACAAGGAAAATGAAACAGGTACTGGGCAGACTAGAAGAGGGGGACAGGAAAACAACCTCAGATCAGATCAGTGTGGTGCTCAGTAGCAAGCTGTCCACAATGAACCAACAACTCTGCCTCGAAGGTATATGCAATTTCTGTGGCTTAACATTCACATGAGGCCTATTTCAAAATACGAATGTGAAGACATTAAACATGGCTTGGGAAGATTTAGTTTGCTCCTGTTAGCTGCTGGTGGGCTGGCTGGGCACATCGCTGGCAGAGGACTGTGAGGAAAAGCCTGCATTTCAGGCACAGGGAACCACAATGTCAATAGATGTCAAAGCAGAAACAATCTTAGCAGATTGTTAAAGCAGAGAAGGTAATACGACTAAAGTCAGGCGAGGGAGGGGAGCAGTCAGGACAGGAAGGAGTGAGATCACATCATGCTTAGCAGGTGACAGTTCTCCCAAATCCTTTTTGATCAGCTCCTTCTTTGTTGGTTGACCTTGTCTAGGTACAAATAACATGATGGGCTTCGGAGCAGGAAGAGAGCGATATGAGCGTGCCTAATGCTCTTTTCTTTATCTGGGGACAAAGACATCATTTTAGAAAAACGAAGAAGACCAGACAAGGAGCAAAGTGAGACAATTAAAGATGGTAAGATGCTTCAAATGTATCAGTAGTAAAAATTATAATTTAAAATACACTGGGGCCAGGAATGTGGTGCAGTAGGTTAAACCACTGTCTGTGACAACAGTATCCCAGATGAGCACCAGTTCCAACTCTGGTTGCTCCACTTCCAGCTCCCTGCTAATATGCCTAGGAAAGCAGCATAAGATGGCCTAAAGTGCTGGGGCTCCTGCCAGACACACAGGGGACTAGAACGGAGTTCCAGGCTCTGGGCTTTCACTTGGCCCAGCCCCAGCCATGAAAGCAACTTGGGGAGTGAACCACTGGATGGGATATTTATTTCTCTGTTCTTCATCTCTATAACTCTTTGGCAAAAAAGAATCTTTTAAAAATTGACAGATCAGGGCCCGGTGCCATGGTCTAGTGGCTAAAGTTCCTCGCCTTGAATGCTCCAGGTTCCCAGATGGGTGCCGGTTCTAATCCCGGCAGCCCCACTTCCCATTCAGCTCCCTGCTTGTGGCCTGGGAAAGCAGCTGAGGACGGCCCAAAGCCTTGGGACTGCACCTATATGGGAGACCCAGAAGAGGATCTGGGCTCCTGGCTTCAGATCAGCGCAGCACCAGCCG